TGGGAGACATACCACGTTGACTAAAGCCAAACCCAAAAACCCTGGATTGATTGTCCCTCGAAGCCCCACGGCCGCAATTGCCACTACGATACCCATAACGGAGACCATCAAATCAAGGACCAGATTGAGCCAACGTTGGATTGTAGCGAGCACAAAAAAGGGTCGCTGGGAATTGTCGAGGCCCACGCGATTCTGGCGTTCAAACCCTTCCTCCCATCCAAATGCCCTCACGGTGGCCAAGCCTGACAGAGTCTCGATGAAATGCGTGTATAGAGGCGCCTTGGTCTCCAGATCAAGATATCGGATTTGCCGGGAGGTCCGCAGGTAGAAACGCTGGATCATCCAGAATGCAACGAGCATGACGGGGAATATTGGCAAAATATAGACCGTGGCAATAGCAATGAGGACTATTTTGTACAGGCAATTGTACACGTACTCAACCATGTCTATCAAGGCCAGGGGTAGTTCGCTGTCAACAAGATTAAGGTCTTGACTGAACCTATTAGTGGTCACTCCCGTATCCGTATTGCTGAAAAATGTCATTGTGGCACCCATTAGAGCCTCCAATTGAATATCATGGAGTCTGATGGATGAAGCTGAGAGTGGGAAGATTAAAACATGCCAGATCCAGAGTAAGGTGAGTGCAATCTCTCCAACGAAGAACACGGTATATACTCCAATATAGTATCGGATCTTGCCATTATCAGTGTCGTTCGCCCAAGCATTCAACCATAGACTTTGAGCGGGAGTAAAACCCATGCATATTGCTCCGAGGACAGCGAAAAATATCGAGTGTCTGTACCCTGCTGTTTTGAGGTAGTACTTCCAGATAGTTTTATCTCCAGTCTGCCTGGAGATGTCGCTGGCGGAAGCATCCTGGATCATGACTGTTTGATGAAATACTGGAGTGAACTCGGCCTCCTTTGCATCCTCAACGCGCCTAGCTGTGGTATCATGGTCTGGGTATTCGGATTCCGGGATGTCTCCCAAGTCCCTCTGCGATACCAACTCCATGGGAAGACGTTCGCGTTGGCCTTGGTAGACCACATCGCCCGCATCCCCAAGGAGTATGACGGAGTCTGCGGAAGGAAGAAGATGCACGGCGTGCGTTGCGAGGATTACTGTTTGGAGAGTATTTTTCAGCAGCCCTCTTTCTCCTAGAAGACTTTGAAATATGATTTCTTCCGTCATTGGATCTAGTCCGCTAAAGATGTCATCCAAGATGAGAATCGGCGCACGTGAGTACACAGCTCTTGCCAAGGCCTATTCGATGAAAGTCAGCATATTCCAGGCTGTTTGCTTTCTTGACAAGTCACACATACAATGCGCTGTTTCTGCCCTCCAGAGAGAGTTATACCCTTTGAACCCACCAGTGTTCGATCGCCGGAGGGGTAGTTTTTCAAATCTTCGAGTAGGGCGCAAGCTCGGATGACCTTGCCGTACCATGAAGCATCAAACAAATTATTTCCAAGTACATTCTCTTGAATTGATTTGTTAACCAGCCAGGGAGTTTGGGCGCAGTATGCAATTGACCCATTGACATTTACTGGTAGCTTGATCGATCCCTTGTGCGTAACCGTCTCCCCAAGGAGTGCGTTTATAAGGGTCGACTTTCCGCTTCCGACACTACTCTCGTTAACTCAAGCCTATAAGGATTCGATAGATTGACTCACGGGCCTATTATCATTGTAAAGGAACCACTGGTGATATCCATTGATAATCCGTTGAGTATGGGATCTTCCCCGTTCCATCCAACACTCAAACCATCAATTTTGATGGCGACATGACGAGGCAAAAGGGTCTGGAGCTCATTGTCGTTGGATGAGCTTGTAGCGAAGCTTCCTATGCTTCCCTCTATCCGGCCGTCCCTTTTCATCTCTAGTAGGAGAAACGCTTCAATCCGGCGAAGACAACCGAAAGCGCTGGCCAGAGCCGGCATTTGTCTCAAAAATATCTCGAGTCGTTCCATGAAGATGTTGAGAATGGCGAGAGATGTAAACAAGCGGTTGACTCCAAAGCTGCTGTTGGACGGATTGAGAAGTGCGACGATGCCAAAGACTGTGTAAGTTATCCATCTCGTTCCGCTCAGGCTTAGCGTTTGCAAGATGGCGAAGAGGGCCATGAAGACCCGCACTTTCTTCGCCCTATTCACTTCCTCTTGTTGCAAGGCGCGAATCTTGGCGTGGATTTTCTCGACAAATCCCAGAATCTTGACACCCTTCATGGAAGAGATAACCGAAGCCGTCAGGCCGACTCTTTCCTCTGTTGCCTCAAGCCACTCCTTTTGTCGTTTGATGTAGGGCCCAGACTGCGCTCCAGTTGCGAAGGACAGAATAGCTGAAAATATAAGCGGTGCCATGAAACTGGGAAAAGCTGTCAGTCCAAAAGAGCAAACTAGGTCACCGCTCAGCTGATCTCTTACGTGAGTCCTAGTTGTCTGTATAACAGACCCAAAGCCACGAGGGCCATAACTCCATTAGAGGATGTCTCATGAATAAGTCCAAATCCTTTCACGATGCGCTCGACATCAGCACTCATCAATGTTAAGCTCTCGCCGCTTGCACCTTCTCTCAGGTCTACTTTTAGCGTCTTGTTGTAGATGATATTCACGAGACATCCTCGGAGGATCGTAGCAAACCTGTCCAATTGGTGCGTGTAAAATGCGGAAAATACAGCCTTGCTAATGTACACGACCGCATAGGCCACGACGATGAGTTGGCCAAGCTCATCGGAGTCGTCCGACGAGATGAAGTCTAGAATGGCACTGACGAGGAACGGCTGAGAGAAAGTGAGGGCCATGGACAGTACATTGGGAATTACTGGCCGGAGGAACAGTTTTGTCAGGGACATGACAATTGTCCTCGCCAGCCGATAGCTGTGGACGTTCGACATCGACAACCATCTTATCTCGAACCTCGCTAGCGTCTCCTCAGAAGAGAGCTCTTCATCAAGATGGATCAGGTCGTCCAATTTCAATATACCACGATGTCCTGCCAAGTGTCAGCCTTTCTGCTCTACTTCATGATGGATTCGATGAGCATACCGTGGAAGAAAAGAGAATTGATCCACCAGAACACGCTCCTGCTGAGAATTCCACTAGTTTCTTGTGGCGGGCGATCAATATCTGCAGCTGAGAAATACATTACCTTGTTTTGTGCCTCGACGAATAAGAGACTCAGCTTTGCTGCCAAAACAGCGGCCGAGAGAGATGTAATCAATGTATCAAAGTCCATTTTTACCACTTCGCAATGCAGATTAGTCTTGTTCGTTGCGGCTCAGGGTACCCTTATGCTGGAAGTCTTACAGGTCCTCATCCGAACAAAGTCGAGTCCGATGGAGAATATCAGATAAAGGTTGAGAAGAGAGCTCGGGCGAATGGCATGATTATGCTCTGCCTTGGAGAGGGCTAGAAAGGCCAATGATTCGACAACGTAAACGGCCGCGGCAGCAATTGATGTTTGGGTTCTTACTGGTGCTCGGAGGATCCATAGCAGCAAGAGAACGAAGCGAAGAGCGACAAGGAGGATAAGGGTCATCTTAAAATACTGTTCATTATTTGGTCCCACGCGGTTCATGCTAGAAGCATTACATACCATTTTGGTGTCCTGGAAAGAGGTCCCGAGCACAACTTTGCGAGCATTACGAAGGGAGGCGACCTTGACCGCCGATGCTACAATCATGAGCACCGCGGGGAGGAGACTCAACATGCTCTCCTCGAAGACCAGTGTGAGGTCCAGCCCGTCGCGACATTCTGATGATGTTTGCGGCCCGAATGAGTAATCCTCGAGGCATGATGATTGATTCATGATGCTATTCACGAAAGCCAGTGGGTGCTACCACACTTGGTTCTGCTACTAGTCTCGTTGATACGAAATGGGACAGATGAATTGATACAACGTGAGAAATATGACGAGAAACAACAAGAAACACGGTCAAGCCTGATGCCTGGACAAAATGCCCACATCAGAATGGTCGGTGTCAGCATCCTCCGGCATTCTGCTGCCGTCTGATAAGATTAGATCCGAGGCTCGGCCGACCGATCTGTGAGTCAATAGCACGTCATGAACCGCCGCCAAAATGCAGTTGGGTAAAACAACGGCCAACCGCCTTCCTGTCTCGGTGTAGTAAATACGTGAGCGAAATCCTGGTCCGAATACGCGGGCAGGCACTTCATGTCGTGGTTCCATTAAATAACGCGAAGATCGGCATACGATTGGCCAGGTATATAAAACTTGCCCCAGGATTATTTCAAGCATGAGATTCCCTAGACACTGAGCCCTAGTAACCCCCAAACTACCAGAAGACTCATAATGCTTACTAGAGGGTGCGACCCAGATTAGATCAACAACCATAATCAGATGGACCACAAATTGAAAATAATCGCGCTTTCTCATGCTGCATTTTTTCCAGGGCAGGTAGTTGTCAGTCTTCAGGTCTGTATGGCATCAGTTAGACCTGAGCAGAGTTTGCGTATCAGGTAGGCGACCGTTGACAACAAATACCCTAGAGAATGATCAAAACTACAGTGTTGGATCAACATTAGATGATATTATCTCTAATTCTAGGAAATAATGATGTCTGTTCGAGCTTAATTAACGATTATTTATGACATCTCAAGTTAGTAGGCTTGAAATAACCAAGTCTGCCTCCTACACTTATTCAAACTTCAAACCAGGTCGTATCAAATTAACGTGGTTGGTACTCGATCTTGTTGACACCAGGCAAACCTAGGCAAGTATTCTCACTAGACCGTTAGCATCCGGTCCAATAAACCTTCCTATGGCTAGTACCAATATATTTGGAGACAACGGCATGCAACCGCAATGACTATTGCGGTTGAAGAAATCACTGCTTGGGATGTGCCTCGCGGCCTCGCGGCATTAACATAATAAATTTCCCATCTTCATTCCTGCAATTATCTGTCTCTATTAATTATCTAGCTTATATTCCTATAGTTGGTACATTTTAAATTTAAATCATTACTTCAGATCCGTCTATCGTCAGTTCCTGGGCGTTTTATTACCCAAGATGTCCACCACCTCCTCCACTTCCACCACCGTCTCGTTTCGGACGTGGATTCCGTGCCTGCCGCCTATATCATGCTCCCCGTCCCCGCTCGACTCTGAGCCACAATACCGGGTCGAGATGACGGTCTGGATGCCGGCCGCACGCTGCCCGTGTAGCCCATCGAACCCGGACATCTCACCGCTCTCCGGGTCCGCCAAGTTATGCGTCGAGCTCGACTTTGTGGCCGCGGCCTCTGCTTCTCGCTTCGTCCGCGTAAGTGTCGTCAGCTTGATAATATTGCTCGGCCGGCTGATTGGCTGACTGCTGCCGTAGCCGACGGAGCTGAGGAAGCTCATGGGGAGGATATAGCGGAATACGGGCCGGAGGAGGGGGAAGCAAGCTAGAAATATATTGTGAGCTGCTGGATGTAGTAGTGAGTAGGGATCGGAGGCTACGCACCGGACACAATGGCAACGTTGACCTCGACGGCTCCAAGGATGCAGTACATTGCGTAGTCGTAGGGCATTTGTGTTGTGTCGTTGTTGTAGTTGACGAGCTCAACCAGAACAAAAGCCGAGGCAACACACACACTGAGCGAAATGTATTAGTCTCCTGTCTGGTCTACTGGTATAATGGAAAGCTAAGTGGACGTACATGGTTCCCAGAACAAACAGCGCGATGATGGCTAGCTTCTGGCCGAGACGAAGGCGGAGCCTGTATACTTCAATGACGGGAAGGGTCAGGATGACGACGTCCATGATAAAATGCGTAACGATGGTGCCGAGGAAAAATTGACCGCTGTTGATGTTGCAAACGGAATCCGTGATGGTCTTGTCCCAAATCGACTGTACCGGGACGCAGCGGAAGATCAACATGAAAGTTCGTAGAATGATCCATATCACGGACATGACGAGCATGACGAGAATCGGGATCCTGATGACTGACTGGCTGAACAGTCTCCAGTAGAAGGACAAGATGGATATCTTGGAAGTAGCGAGAGACGATGCATAGCAGAGGGAGTTGAAGAAGCCGAGGAGTCTCGAGTGGTATAGGATCAATTCTCTGGTCTCCTCGTCGAGAGAATCAGGCATCAGCTTGCCAAGATACCAGTACTTCGTCCCTAAAACAAAGTCATTAATAACCAAAGGTTCAATCGGGAGGATAAGGGCTGGTGAATACAATGGATCAAGATAGCGCAGTACCCCGTAGCGAAAAGCTGTATGTATAGTCAGTATATGGTTATGAATGTTGTGCTGGAGGAAGGCAAATAGGCTTACAAAGGCAGCTATACAGAACCAGTCATCGTACCACCAATTCACCTTGGTTAACCGGCGTGCGGCCACGCGCATCAGCATCGATATAACCGCAGCAAACCATGTTATGCCGATGCCGACGTAAATGTTGAGTTGGAGGCCAGCCATGGCTGAGGCTGGAAGCTCGCACCACCGGTTCGTGCTGCTGCAAGATCTCAGTGGATTGCTCAGAGACGTCGCTAGACAAGGAACAAGGGTTTCCGATGAAGAAAGAAAAAGGAAAATCAGCAAAAAGAAAAGAGCTAGGAGACGGCCCTAGTTATTGGGCAACACGGCTACAGACATAGCAACAGCGTTTGCATTCGTTGGCGTAATATGAGAGAAGGCTAAGTGCCCACTACCCCGGAGGCCAGCACTAAAGGAATCGCTCATCCGTTGGCGGATGGTGACTTGGGCACCCGATGAGGCTAGTTGGGATAAGTCGAAACGTCGCCAAATGACTCGCCTCCCATGTGGCTTGCGAACCCTGTAGATTGAGATTGGTTTGGGGCAGCTAGAGCCAATAAATATCCAGCTGCCAACTTTGACGGGATTGTCTCATTCGCCAGATGGCAAGCGATGGCTCAATGCCTCATGCGTCTGAATAATGCATCCATTATCACATGGACAAGCCATGCCCCCTTACCGGGGAGAGTGGACTATCTTCGCCTGCTCGCCTGATCTTCTGATGCTTGTCCTTGAGACAATCACGATCCAGGCTAGATGACAGGACGATCTATTGTTGGCTGCATCCGGTTTTGTAGTGTTCCTAGTCTTTCGTGAGAAGCAGGGTCTTTGCTCTTTTAACTATCATCCTTGCATGTTGGAGTCTACAGTTGATGGTGGTATCCCCACGTGCATGATGTGTGGCACTAGAGAAGCGATGTGAAGTGGCTTGACTCGATATCTTAGCACCATTGCTCGGTCTGCAACCGGCTGGTCGCCGGATGGCAGCTAATGAACTCAAACAATGGCAAATGAAGGCGGCGTTCATTAGCATGGCCGTCTGGACTGACGACGATGGGATCATCTCAGAACCGATCGGTTGGTACCTCTGGATTGGCCCCTTCTCCCCACGGCGGAAACCGGGGCCATCATCCACCTGCTCAGGGGCCCATGACTGAGGGGTTGACATCTCGATGATTAGCTTAACCGCATCCCGAGTAGTCTCATCACGCTAATGCGCGGACTCGAGCAGCTGAAAGACCAAAAACAAGGATGTTTGGGACTGTCAAAACGAGCTAGGCTAGCATTAAACCGCGATAAGGCATGAAGTAGGATAGGGATGACATTAATTTGCAACATAGGGTGGGAGAGAAACTGAAGGTATTATCAGCCCAAGGCCATCGGGGCTGACTGAAGCTCATTGCCTATGCAGACTTATCAATTCGGTACATTCGGCATCTAGGCACAGATTTATCATCACTCACTCTCTGGGGCCGTGGCGTCAGTGACAAAACCCAAGATGGGAGGGACCCGAGGGGGGGGACCCGATGGGGACCCGGGGAGAGACACCCGACCAGCTTATCAGGTCCACCTCCAGGCCACGGAGAGTCCGGCGATTCTACCCATGAACAAGTGCGGTGCCACCAAAATAGGAAGATCGTCTACTAAACTCGCTAAGCAAGCCACTCCAGTAGTTGGGGACTAGACTGATAAGCCTGCTAAACCCCCATAGGACGAGCCCTTTCTTGAACTGGGAATACGTATATTGGTAAACAGTAGAATCCTGCACCAACCGCAACGGGAGGGGGCGAGAGAGCACCTCATCCAGGCACCACCAGCATGTTGGGAATGTGTAGCCGCACGGTGGTCGGAGATTAAGTCGCTGGCGAACCTGAAAGTAAATTAAGCATCTCTCTCTGTCTCCCCTGGATAATATGTTGCCCTTTTCAGAAGGCTCGCTAATACGGAGTCTACCGAGTAGGGATGGTTTCGCAAGCATGTCTGAATCGCAGGGTTTCGACGGCGACAGGTTCCTGCATAAGGGGCACTAAGACCAGGGCTAGGTCTATGGCTGGAGACCGGGAACGGATTGTCTACCACTTTGTTTAAGACGCACGACATGTGATCGATCTTCCCAAGCATGTAATCTGGATCGCATCCCTCGCCGGATTGATTTCCCATTTCGGCTGAGTATCCCTGGGAGCAAAATGATAACAACTATTGAGAAGAATCGGCCTCATTCTTGTCAAAGCTTGTCATCTTTTGCCCTTCCAGCATCCACGGCTTGATGCACCACGAGTCATGAGAATGTTCAACGAAAAAGCTGCATGCAAACCAGCCCCCTCAGATTCTCCTGATGATTTGCATTATCGACACGCTGACCAAACAATCCACAACAATTCATACAACCACCTCAGGACGAGGAGATCTCTTTCCTTTTCCAATACATCTCAAGTTTCACCAAACAAGGCCAAATAAGCATCTTCACTGACCGTGTATCCCTGCCTTAGTATGCAGGATTCGCTGATTTGGGCAGGGGAATGATGCTGTCTCGGATTTTCATTCAGGGCAGAACAGTACCATGGCTACCGCGCAAAGCTTTCTCACTTCTTGCTTCGAGCACGATACATCGATCACAGCGATGGCTTTGGAGATCTTCTCAATACTCCCCATTCCGGTTAAGAAGCCACTGTAATGGGGAAATTGATTCCTAAACATTCACCCAATTCAGAGCTTGCGGTCTCGCCGCTGCTCTACTAGAAGAATTGGCCCCTGAAGAAGAGATTAGTTTGCCCAAAGCCTACTCATGCAACACTTTGAGCATCAGAAATCATCGTCCAGGATGGATTTCAATGTACGGTTTGAATGCACATCCTCACATAAGAATAACCATGAGAAGCTTCCCGCACCACAACAGGCTGTTTCTCCAGGACAAAATTGGTCCGGCCTCGAGTCCACCTTTTGATGCTCATACAGGTAGGTGTAGCTGTAAGTCTGCCTGCTGTTCAATCGAGAAGTGACACTTCGCATGAATTCAAGCCATTTTGAAGCGCGCGTCGAATTAATGCGCTGCTGGTGCCATCTTTCGTGTTCACTCATCCACATAGTAGTTTTTTGTATGCTTATGGTGCAGTTCTTCAGTATTTATTGTGTTGAGGTGTCCGGTCTGGCATCTTCCATTATTGTTTAACTTTATACTCGAACTCTCTTCCATGGTGCAGTTCTTAATGGCACGGGTAAGCAAGCTACTGCTGCGGGATTGCAGATCAGGGTGGAAATGCGACATGCAGATATTTAGCTAACGCTGCAACTCTGGGCCACTGTAACCCGCTGTCAATTGTCATTGACCATCCATTACATAAAACAGCCGCTGTGGCCGCTACATCAAATAGCGGAGTTCCGTAAATCCGGGGAGGGAGCTGACAAAGCGCCCAGACTTGGCCTTAGTGGAGCTTTTCTCTGACGCCAGAGAGGGATGAAAAGCGAATCAACAAAAGAAATTCAAGACACAAATAGCAATTACTAGTGGTGGCTTGAGCGTCCCTGGAACTCCGGTAGAGGAGATGTCTTGTCTTGGTTAAGGAGGCAGGTTTATGAACAATTTCCAAAGACCATGAAAACGGGTCAGTGTCAAAGTGGTCGCAATGCATTGATAAGATAAGGCCCGCGTATAGAACCAGCCAATAAGATCCCGCCACTAAGATAAGGAGTTACCCAGGCATCTTTAGCTCCCATGTCGAATCTAGAGTCCATCTCATCTTTTCGACCAGGCATTATTTCCAGCGACAATTCCGCACGCCGGACACTGCCAACCTTTCGGTCTCCTTTTGCGCCGACGGGGAGGCCTTTACCTCTGGCGTCACCAGCGCCCCCATCACTGGGGCGACGATGCCTCCGACGACTCCACACTCGCCGAGGGCCAAGCGGAAGCATCAAACCCCAGGCCCGGCCGAGGCCTCTCGGTCCAAGAGGGCAAAATACGCTCCTGTAGCATGGTCTGAACTCTCTCTCTCTCTCTGTCTCAATTTTTCTCCCGTCAGACCGCAGGACTGACACCGCCATGGCAGCAATGAATGCAAGAAAAGCAAGCTCAAGTGCATCAAGGCCGAGTATGAGGACGCTTGCCAACGGTGCAGGCGCAATCACCTTGACTGCCTCTTTGCACGTAATCCTCTCCAAAACAAAACACCTGCGAGTGAACCATCTGTGGATAGTGTGATATCCCATCATCAGCGGAGTCAGCCCTCAGAGTACGATTTTTGCCAAAGTGGCTGTCTTATCATGTTCTTCCACGGCTGACAGTAAAGCTTCCCACCCAGGCATGATTTCAATGTTTTGACAAAAGTGGTCACCAATCTTCAATCTCAGATCAGCACTCTATCAAATACTCTGCAAGATCTCGAACGCCGGCTTTCCACCTATCGGCCGCGTTCTGTCGTCCCTTATCATGGGCCAAGCCCGACCTTTACGGATGACCAGACAGTTCAGCCTTCTGAACCCAGGGAACCAAGCTTTGTTGGGCCCACAAGGTCTGCATTTAGTTTACGCATGGCAGAAGCTTCTCTCCATAGAATGGGGATCGATACGGAGGCTCGTACGCCGTCTAGCTCTCCAGCGGCTTCGCCCAAACCTGCTTTGCCCTCGGACAAGGAGTCCGAAAAGCCCGAGCTCTGCATATCAGAGACGAATAGCCTGTTGGGCTTTGAGCTTGGGGATGTCATGAGGTTACTTGATGATTATTGCGACGAGGTCGAGTCTGTGTATCCTTTTACGCAGATTAGCGAGATATCAGCCAAAGCGCCTTACATCTTGGAACAGGCCAGAAGAAGCCAGCATCCAGCGATCCCACCATCGACGCCCTTAACTGGTCCCTGGCCAGACATCGAATCCAAAGATGTGCACATACTCAAGCTTGCCCTTGCAGTGGCAATCGCATTGGAGGCCGGTGGCCAAACTTCTGTCAGCAAGAGGCTACTCGACGAGGTCGAGCCTGTCATTTGTCGAGTGTCAGGCGAAGCCGAAATTGACTTGAAAGAACTGCAGATTATGACCATGCTGGTATGTTATGATAACCTTAAATCCGCTGTTTACGCCCCAAGCCAAAATGCCGTCTTGACTTGTCGTCAAATATTAACTTATGTAGGGCATCTACTGGTTTCACTGCGGCGAGGAACTTTTGGCGTGGAGAGCCATCGGGATTTCGACTCGTGAAACGCTTGAACTGGGCCTCCACCGGCGACCTATTCTATTCGAGCATTACCCAGACCTCAAGGAAAGGGATTTAGCTATCCGTCTGTTTTGGTGTGTTTACATTTTGGATCGCCAATGGAGCTTCGGGACCAGCCTTTCATTCGGCCTCGTCGACAAAGACATTGACAGCGAGCTCCCAGAGCCGGTGCGTTCACTCCCTGAGGAGAAAACTGGAAGAATTATGAATACCTAGACTAGATGGCTGACTTATACTCGCAGAGTGAGGACTTTCCATTTCTTAGATCCATGGCAGCTTTTGCACGCCTAAGTGGCAGGGTTTGGGAAGCGTTCCCGCCATCTGGCGGCTCGTCCCAAGTCATTCCCAAAGACACAGTTTCTCTGATTGACTTCATGACCCAGAATTGGATCAACTCTATTCCCCAGGACCTGCGACTCCGCCATCCACGTCTAGGTCTTGCCCCAAGTCACCAACCTCGAATTCTGCACCGCTCGCGCGCACTCCTATACCTACATGGAAATCACCTGCGGAAGCTCATTTACCGCCACCACATCATCAGCGCCGCAAGCATACGGGCAGACATCCACAGCGCCAGACTCGTTGTCGGGATAGCTCAGGACTCCATAGAGGTTCTTCTTCACCTTCACCGAAATAGCGATGTCTACGCGCGGCAATCAAACGGCTTCAACTTCTTCCTTCTTAGTTCTGTCGCTTCCATCCTGCTCGCGGTCTGCAATGCCCCGGACGTGTTTGCACAGCACTGCCGTGAAAGTTTCGTTGTAGCTGTTAATCTACTCAAAGAGCTATCGCATCAACATTCTGCTAGCAGGATCCTCTGGAAGAGCATCCGCCGCTTGCTTCCAGGTGTCAAGACCGTTGGCTTACGTGCAGATGCGGAGGCTGGGAAAGATTCTACCTTGAGCACCGCAAGGCAAGCTCAACCACATGATCATCTGGAAAAACCTTCCCAGCAGCAAGAACAGGACCACCCTGTTGACCAAATAGCCGTTGCTGTTAACGAGGGTGCTGACGAGGGACCTACCGACAACCTTTGGCCGATCCAGTCCGACATCGCAGAGGCGGGCAACTCGCCAACCGATGCCTTCGACTTCGGCGAGGGGCTGGTGGATCTCTTTGATGCTTTTGGTCAGATGAACCCTGACGGCTCGGCAAACTCGGACTTTCCGTCTGATTTGTTCAACCTGGGTGGGCAGAGCATGTCATATGGAGAATCAGAGGAGTTTTTACGAAGACTTCACGGAGTTATATAAAATTCATCAATGTAACTTGTATATTGTATCATTCTTAAGTCCATCTAGTATCCTCTTGAGATTTCCATTCAATTCTTCAAGCGTCATCGCATTTACTCGTGCACTCTCCGGCTACTGGTTTGTCTGTAGGAACAGAGACACCGTCAACGACATTCTCACCTAGCATCGGCACTTGGAACTTCTTCCTTCCCACCAGCAGGTAATACGTGACTCCAAAGAATAACCATCCTGCCAAAACTACAATAGAATAATTCATGTTTGCTGATGTCACGGGCATAACGCTGGGGAAGGTGCTAAAGATGATCACAACCGTCATCCAAATCAGGCTGATGACGTTGAGCACAGGACCCAAGATGGGTCCAAGCCGGAACGGTCCGTAGTCGGACTTGCGCAGCTTGCGCCGGCCGAATATCATCATGTACACGATTGGGAGGATGTAGCTGGCGTACATGCCGATGATGGCCATGGACAGAATGGCGTTGAAGGCGGTCGAGTTCCCGAGATAGATGAAGCCCAAGACCATCTGCAGGACTGTAACCAGCACTATAGAGGCGATCGGGATGTGGTGGCTCTTGTTCACCTGGCTGAGCAGTCCGTGGAATGGGGTCGCCTTGTCTCGTGCAAAAGCCCAAAGGGTTCTGGATGTGGAAGTGACGCCGGCAACGGTTGCTGCAATGGCCGTCAACGTGATCATGGTGGACATTATTGACGCGCCAACATGGGACATGGTCACGTCGAGGTAGATCTGCATGAAGGGAAAGCCTGTTGGTGTTGCCAGTAGCTCCTCAAGGGGGCCAGTAGAGAACAGCAACATGGTTCCGTAAATAAGACCCATCAGCCCGTTGGCGGACACGCTGCCAACCATAGCAAGGGGAACATTTCGGCTGGCATTGGGCATTTCTTCGGCGAGATGGCATGCGGCGTCATATCTGCGTGAGGTGTTAGGAAACGGGTAATTGGCAAGGGGATTGATCGAGTTCTGCTTACCCAAGGAAAGGATAGACCGCGCTTAGCAAGCCGACGAGCCATGACACACCATCACTCGACCAGCCACTTCTGTTGACGAACTCAGTAAAGACTTCCGAGGCACTGTTCTTTGGTGCCATGCAGCCAAGAACAACCAGGATCGCGAAGAACCCAGCAACGTGGAGGATGCCTAGTGGTGTTGTTAGCTACAAAACAGAGAACAAACGCCACAGCGCTGTGAACTGTATCACATAAGACATTTCTTACCGGAGATATTATTTGCCGTGGGTAAAAGCTTGTGGCCCCAGATATTCATCACCATGGCGTAGACGAGAATAGCCCAGTAGAACAGCATTCCCTGCCACCTCTCCGGCACATACGAGTCATCGTTGAGGATAACCAATGCCTGGATCTGCAGCCCGGCAGCAAAAGCGGCAGAGCAAGTCAAGACGACCTGCCCGCCAACTGAGATCCAGCCTGTCACAAAAGCTGCCCCGGACCGGGTAGATGCAGGTGATAAGGCTGCCACCCAGTGGTATTGTCCTGTATAGACATTGAATCAGTATGTTTCTTCGTTCGAGGTTTCGTATTCTCGATCTCGTTCTTCGTACCTCCGGCAGTTGGGTAGATAGATGCAATCTCTCCAAGAGAGCAGGCAACACAGACGGTACAAGCAGTTGAAAGGAGTCTAAAAGTGTTTGGTTAATAAGTTAGCAACCTCTTAGTTTCTATATAATAGTGAACTAGGGGCTCAAGGGTTGAATGGTCTGCAACTTACAAGTTGTAAAACAAACACGGAGCTCCGCCACTCACGAGAGCAGTTGCTACCACAGATGATAGAGCTTCCCATGTTCCCATCAGACAAACACACAATGCACACAATGCCGGCAATGAATACTGCCGCTCCAATTCCTGGACATGTCCAAGCTGCGCAAGCCGAGCATCATCGGCATTGGCGGAAGCTTTGGGATCGGAGTTGACTTGGTGCAATTGCATTGTATCTTTCATCTTTGCGTTCTCCATGGTTGTGAAGACAGATCGATGGGAACCTCAGATCTTTTTCTATTACTTATCTACAACGAAAATCTTCTGCTCAACTCCAGGATCGTTTTAATAATAAATATACAATCACGATAAGATCTCCGACTATCGTGATGCTCCCCCATTATCTCCATGGTCTCAACTCAACGACGCGGCTCTCTGCCACGCTAGATCAATACGTCCAATCATCCTGCAAAGGTTTATCGCGGACAGGTCCCAATACGGTAATCAGAGCAGCTAGCATTGAAACCGTTTAGTCTAACGGCCCCAGCACATTGAAAAGGGTTAATAGCGCAAGATAAGACTATCTTGACTGAACATGTTCCGACATTCCGACGCCATTCCGATGCACTCCTCGGCTAGACCCCTTCGTCTGTTCCGAGGTCTCGTTCCGATGATCGTCTTGAGGCCTATTAACCGAACTTCAAATACGCCGTGAGAAACCGTGCCAATCACAAGAGCAAGAAGTTCAATACGTCACTCCAAGGTCCAGCCATATAATGTGTTTTGGATCCTTTCTTACAGGTTAATCACATAGCTACTTTATCGCTGAGGCATCACTGGACAAATGGCGGCTCCTCACCCACTGTCAGCTCTCTCCATTGAGGAGACCAATCTCGCTCGGGACGTAGTCAGGGCAGCTCACCCCGGCACAGTCCTCTTCTTCCGCCAGAACTACCTCTGGGAACCACCCAAGGCCGATGTACTCCGGTTCCTCGAACTTGAGCACTCGCGCCAGCTTACGCCCTCGTCTCCGAGACCGGCAAGATGCGCCCAGGTGTTCTACGATGTCATTGGTGGCCAGGCCAAGGCACAGTACAACGAGGCCGTGGTCGACCTGAATCTTAGGACAGTTGTCGACCACAAGGTTATCGGAACTGAGCACCAGTCCAGTTTGACCACGTAAGACGACCACTTCTCTTTGTGCCTCTGTCTAATTGGGTGCTCTACTGACACTCTCTGCTTATAGGAAGGAGTTTGAAGAACTTGTTGAATGTGTTCAAGCATCCGCTCTCTTCCAACAAAAGGTCTCTGAGCTCAAGCTGCCAGAGGGATTCGAGGTCATTGTAGAGCCATGGCCTTACGGGGCCCCCGACATTGAGGATGGCGACAACCGCTACTTCCAGGCTCTCATGTTTGCTAGGGATACCCGTAGCGGGAACCCCGATTCCAACTTCTACGCCTACCCCCTGCCACTTATCCCTGTTATGGATGCTGCAACCAAGACGATTGTACGCATCGAAGAGCCCGCTACAGGTGGCCGAGGGGACAGCCTCACGGCCAAAACTCACAAGCCCGAGATTGTGGACCATTGCTTGGAGAGCGAATATGTTCCCGAGCTGCTGCCCGGGGGTGTCAGAAAGGATCTCAAGCCCTTGACCGTTGTCCAGCCAGAGGGCCCCAGTTTCTCCATCACGGATGGCAACCTTCTAAAGTGGCAGAAGTGGAGAATGAGAGTCACCTTCAACTCTCGAGAAGGTGCTGTTGTACATGATGTCCGATATGATGGTCGCCCCGTCATGTATCGTTTGAGTATTAGCGATATGGTATGTATCCACCGCCTCTTCCCTCCAACACGCTGCATGGCCGCTTCTACCTTTCTTTAAGACTCGAAGCCTTGCTGACTTACGGATTTCCGTAGACGGTTCCTTATGCCGACCCTCGTCCTCCATACCACCGGAAGCAGGCCTTTGACTTTGGTGACGGAGGTCTCGGTCACTGTGTCAACAACCTGACTCTGGGCTGCGACTGTCTTGGTGTCATTAAGGTATGCATCCATCCTTATTGTTGCTCGTGATTGGCTGAGTTCAAGCAACTAACCTTCTTTCATCCAGTACTTTGATGGTGTTCTTATTAACTCCAGTGGTGATGCCGAAGAGACCAAGAACGTCATCTGTCTACACGAACAAGACAACGGCATCAACTGGAAGCACACCAACTGGCGAACGGGCCGAGCGGTGGTCACCCGTCGCCGTGAGCTGGTCATCCAGTTCATCATCACTCTTGCCAACTACGAGTACATCTTTGCCTTCAAGTTCGACCAGTCCGCCGGTATCAACATCGAGGCACGTGCTACTGGCATCGTATCCGTTGTCAACATCGATCAGGGCAAGACCAGCCCCTGGGGTAACGTGGTCAGCCCCGGCGCCCTGGCCCAGAACCACCAGCACGTCTTCTGCATCCGTGTTGATCCTTCAATCGACGGGCACGAAAACACCGTTGTCCAGGAGGAAAGCCTTCCACTCCGCATTGACCAGCGCACCAACCCCAAGGGCAACCTGTACGAGGTGCGCCACACGCCAATCACCACATCGGCTGGTCTGGATGCCGCGCCGTTCAACAACCGCGTCTTCAAGATCCAGAATCTAAACAAGATCAACCCCATCACCCAGAGGCCCGTCGGATACAAGATCATTCCGCCTCCAACCCAGCTGCTGCTCGCAGACCCCAACAGCCGCCAAGCCCAGCGAGCGCTTTTCGCCAAGCATCACCTCTGGGTCACCAAGTACAAGGACCACGAGTTCTTCGCTGGAGGCCGCTACACGCTGCAGAGCAAGCGGGAGGTTGGCGGCGTCAGCGATGCCGCGGACCGCAACGAGGATGTCCTCAACCAGGACATTGTGGTCTGGAGCGTCTTTGGCCTAACCCACAACCCGCGTATCGAGGATTGGCCCGTGATGCCGGTTGAGATGCTGAACCTCTCGATCACGCCCACCGACTTCTTCACTAAGAACCCGGCGCTTGACGTCCCTTCAGATAAGGACTTGGGATCTCAGCTGACTGCTGGTGCCAGCACTAATGCTGGTTCCAGTTGCTGTAAGCTCTAAAATTTTAAAATGACTCAATATGTGGTACACCTCAGAGTCGGTTTTGTTTTGCATATTTCTAGGCGTTTGCGGCATCATGTAGTTCTAGTTCTACTTATGAAAAAAACCACTGTCTATTGAACATCTATAATCTACAAGTCACTCTATATTTCCAGAAGGTATACCGTCATATAAAAATTATTTCATTATGTTAGATCTTGCAAATGTTTCACAGCTATTTGGGTTGACGCTGACTTTTTCTTCTTGTCAACTCACTTATTAAATCCTTCAGAAACTTTTCGCTAGACCCAAGGGAGCGGCATTATACAAATTAAAAATTCCGGAACAACCCAAACAGCTATAAGGAAACCTTCTAGCACCATATACGATATATCTTTCTCTACATGGTTGACCAAAAAAATACTGAATAGAACAAGAGATCATCCCAAAAGCTTAACAGGAGGTTCAGGCTGATCTGCGCCACGAAGCCTTCACTTCAACCCTGGGATTCTAAAGCAGTCCCTTAGAGTAGGGGAAGGGGTGATGCCATACTCAAATTGATAAAGAAATTCCTTCGCCCAGCACGTCTTAGGTAGGAGGTAACTTGTTTCAAGAGCCCAGAAATATGACAAGGGTAAAAAAGGATGGTCCTGTTCGAATTCTAGCCAAAGGCCTCTCCCTGGCCCCTGTAATGTACCTGTTTTCTTGGCGTCCCTTTGGAGGGAAGGGGATGCTGCGGATAGATGGCTGCAGTGTGAGTATATCAGGGGGAGGGCAACACGGAAGTGCGCTTACCACTACGCCACAGGGGCTCTTGCTGAATGGGCCGTCCGAGGAACTTCTATATAAGGCATCACCGTTGGCTCGTTGATTGAGAGAAATGATGAAGTGATCTACATATCCTCGAAGGCGGGCTGTGTAAGTAAACGGAAAGTACTTTACCTCCTGTGGCTAACGTGACATGATCAACCTTCCATTTCTCGTACAATTTCTTGCTCCGTGGCAGCAATTCTTGGCTCTCGAATCTTTCAGCTGCTTCCAGGGGGCTTGTTCCTCTCGATGTAAAGTGGCTGTAGTAGCTCCAGCCACCACACCAACAACTGAACAGTCTCTAGACTAATTAGATTCGGGACACTTGAAACGCAACCATAAATAACTGACGTCAAGACTTTAGATAGGTGAGGCTTCCCTGCCCAGTCGTTTCCCTGGTTTCTTTCAACATTTTCTACAATTTATGCTTCGTACCAAATATCATTTCTGTTATAAGGTCGATCATTAGTCTTCTCGGTAAACCGGTTCAGCTTGACAGGCATTATGACATATGTTGCATTTAGTGAATGTAACGGTGATAACAATGTTCAAATCCCCCTGTCCCCTACCAATTCTCCGGTATTTCGTTTTAGCTGCCCTATCACATGCAGTGGAATGATAAGCCGCCACTTCGTTTAAGGAAGGGTGTCTCTTAAAGAAGTTTAAAGAAGTGGCAAGAGTGGTAGTCCACTGCAGGGGAATGCGTCGCAACGTTCCACAAGTCCAAGGTAGAAGCTATTATAGGTGTGATGTCCCATTAACACACCGGAATATCCCATCCCAGTCTTCTACGTAATTGACTAAATTCCTAGCTGTGCACAGGGGGCTCACCGAGGCGGTGCCGAGGGCTCCGATAATGGCAATGATGCTCGCGGGCGTTGCATTTTGCCACTGTCTCGTATTTCTTAAGCCTTACAGCCCAAAATTCACATCGAAGATCGTCAGGTCTATGGGTGTCGCCGATCCCAGGGGTAAGTCAATTCCCCGTGTTAATTGGCTCAGTTACCCGGTTTTCCGCCAGATTAAGCTACGGGGGTACGTTGTTATTGGGGTCAGAGCAGGGTATAAGTTGGAAGAGGTTACATCGTCCCAAAAGAAGTAGGATGCAGCATCTGCTTGACAACGGATTTCAGAGCTGAATTCTTTATCGAGAGTGTTTTATATTGAGAAAGAAGGAATTCATATGGTGGCTCGCGTGTATAAATACCTATGCCCTCGTACAAATATTCACTGTTGATTCAACTCATCACTTTCGCTCTATCTCATCTCAGTTCAAGAATTAAAATCAACCTTTACCGACCTTCAAGATGAGAATCGATATTCTAGCCGCCGCTGCTCTCCTCGCCCAGCTTGCGAGCGCAAGTCCTGCCCCGGTAAAGCGTCAAACATATGTTGCATGTTCTGGGCTCTATGGCACCGCCCAATGCTGCGCAACCGACGTCTTGGGCCTCGTGAACTTGGATTGCGGCAACCGTGAGTTTTGTTGGTGAATACCAGTACAAGTCCTTTATCTAACTCATATATCTCAGCCCCTTCGCTTCCGGCGAGCCCAGACGATTTCAGCTCGGTCTGCTCTGCGATTGGTCAGCGAGCACGATGCTGTGTGCTCCCCATTGTAAGTATCCTGGGATTGATTATAACAAGAATATCCAACCAGTTGCTAACTCAATGCCAGCTTGAGCAAGGTGTCCTATGCAACACCCCTACTGGTGTTGATGACTAGATAGTGCGATACTCTTGGGAAATGTGCCTTGAGAGCATCTCTTGCCTTCACCCCCCTAAGATTTCGCGGTGGTGAAGGTCCCACATTCTCTCATTATTTTTATCTAGTCGAATTCACTATGTTCCAATCTTCATTACAAACTGAAAACCGGCCATCTTTGCTTCGTATGATACAACTCAACACACAAGTACTCACCTCACTGTAACATGAGAGGGAGAAGAAAGCATCAATGATGTTCACAGTATACCAAACGCATTGAGATGTTAACGGCACCAATCGTCCCCCTCAAGCATCTATTTTGTACCTAAACATGTGTGTCAATATTCCTATAACTCTTACGTTAAACCAGAACTTAAGTTGAATATAGCTTTTCCAACTAGGCAGCAGAATTTTGAAAAAAAATTCTTATATATCAATAACAAAAGTAGCACATAGTCATAGGCTCAACCTCAACTCAAGAGATCACTTTGCCTTCTATAAGGGTTATTTAGCCCAGTGCCACTATGGGTGCCAGCAAAAGAACCTTCACGCAAAGAATTCCTCCCACAACACATCCTTCTTGCAACTTGCACGATCTTGCCGACCGTATCATCCGACTATTTTGATTAGTACTGGCAAGCGCAAATACCGTTCCGGCCGGAGCATATAGGGCCATATTGTTCCTGTCGCCGCCCCGCCTACAAGCGACAGTCACAGCCCAACCCTATAATGCGCTTGCAAGCGCACTGCTTTGATAATATAGCTTTATATACCTCTTCCATTTTCTAAAGATGCCGACAATATTAAGATTGGTCTCATCGGAGTATTTGGGTCTAATAAAAGCATCATAAGGTACCTACCTATAGGTAGTCAACTGCGCTCGGAGCGCAACGTGTCGTCAATTGAAAAGGCTCAATTTTACTTTGCTACTTAACTCCTAGCCTTTCTGACGGCAAAATTCTTAAAGAAATGTGGCATTTCCTTCGTGTGGAGAGAGTCCATGGCCGAGAAGGTGGACGGATAACGACTGGATTAATGACCTGTTTTAAGCCGGCGATGGTGACATACAAGGCGCTGATGGCAGAGTCGGCACTATCATATATGGACTAAAAATACCATGGCAGCTCAAGTATCTTCTTTTTCAGGGGGAGCGGCAAGGGTAGACTCGTAGTGGAAATCAGTGAAATGAATGCGCCAGGTGACGAAATCAGAACCATTGTTAGTGAAGAGGTGAAGCGAGTCGCCCAACGCATTCGAAAATGACCGCATGGCGGCCCTAGATGTTACCTAGCAAGGCGACAATCATCAGATACGTTGGTTGGGCACGGCTACATTAGCTGGCAATTCAAAGCCCAGTGAGTGTGCGGCAATGACCTTGAAATAGATGATGCCTTTCTGGGTTTTTCTTTGTCTAAAGAGTAAGCATGTGATGATGGAATTGGTAATTTCTTGGATGGCCAAGAGTGCCAAGCACTTGGTTACGTACTCTTCTACGCCCATTGCTCTCCAATTCGAGGCAGATGATGACGGTGGAGGTGCCCATCCAATCCTTTCCAACCAGGGTCGATTTCAGGGCTCGGAATCAGGGGCATGCAGGGCAGCAAGGCACCAACAGCAGGATTTTTGCATGGATGGTCATGGCTAGCTTGGCGGCTTCTTGCCGTCCCCTGTTTCCCCTGAACACGTAATAGAGCCTCATGCCGGAAAATACGAGGAAGTGGACAAGAAGTATCATTCCGATTGACTGTTGGAACGCATCTTGCATGTAGGGCTTGCCATCAATCAGGTTCGTATCAACAGGCGTATCAACTGCAAATGATTTCCAGATTTTGCTGTATCAATTAAATCAATCATGAAACTAATTTTGATTGATTCCGATAGATAGAAATAAGGGTTTTCTCGAAGTATAGCCATTTATTTCGTTGAGTAGGTTATTGAGGTTATCGCAAATGTGGTCGCATCCACTCGGGTTTTATGGGCATAGGGTAGAACAGCACGTAACCAGGTGGCAGATCCACCTACTTTTCCATACGAAGTAGCTGTCGCAAGGGATAGCAGCTAGTTCAGGTCTACAGCGGTAGCTTGTCCTGACGGAAGATAAAGAGGTTAGGTCTGTAGCAATCACACATCTTGAGAGCATACTCACAACCTGAAGTCAAGTCTCAATGAGTTAGCTGCCGCTACGGATGACTGCCGTAGCCTCTGACTGCTAGGCCTATGAAGTGTACAGCGATCGCTTGTTTCTTCCTCTTTAACCCGCCTTCGTCTTTGTGATGGCCTCCCATTTCTATTTTTACATAATTCTATATTTAGATATAAAATTCAAGCGAAATAAGTCAACTTAGGAAGCCCTTAAACTAATTTTTAGGTGTGTTGGAATTGAACGGTTTTTTTTTGTTTGAACTAAGGTAGGTAATTGATGGCAAGCCCTGATTGCATGATGGAATGACCAATGACGCACATGTGGCACAACGGTTTTGCAGTGGTCGGCGGCTGTTTTATGCACCGCTCAAACCATGGATCCATGTAAAAGAATGTGTCAGTTGAAGTATTGAAACCTTAAGGGAGTTAAGCTCCCTGTAGCTGCACGGCACACGGTATGTAGCGACCCAAGACCAAGTATCTGACATCGCAATGATCTGCTCACACTCGACCGATGCTTGGAGGAGGTACTTTGGGAATGTGCCACGGGACGAACCTAGGCTGGTTGGTTCGTTCAAGCGGCTTGCACAAGCAGGTACAAGAATTGCACAGGCGCACAATTGACGGCGTTGGCAGTGGGACCTCAACCGAATAATTATGATGCGACTTGCCTGAGCTATAATAATCAACCTTCGGAACCAAGTACCAGAATCGTCACGGCCCGTTCCGGGTCGAAGGATGCCGCCATGTACCACAAGCGGCCTGGAGTTCGCAAGGGACCATCTCCTCACGACTCAAGTTGAGTTCGTTCTGGGACTGAGACAGAAGGCAAAGACAATACATGTACAGGCGTATACACGTGAAGAGGCCGCGCGTTCAGACTCCGCTGCCAATGCAAAAATATGTGCACAGGGATGGATTCACTGCCCGTCAGCCAGTGAGTGGGTTTGCGAGCCGCTGGGGCCAACTGGTAGGCCCTTGTTAGGGACCCAAGGCCACCACTGGTGTTTGCGAGAGGCCGCCAGCGACCGCCCGAAGGCTTGGCTGTTGGGATTGGTTACGCTGATGCTGGGCGACGCACCTTTGTTTGATCCCCCTGTGCCCAGTTCCACAACGCATGCATCAACCCCTAAATGCTCACTAAAAAAGAAGGAAAGACCGCCAAACCAAACTGCACCCAGCGGCCTCGCATTGCATTGCTCTGGCATTGTTCGCTTGGCCACATCATGTTAAAACTTCAAGTGCCGGCCGTCTCCTTCTTCCTCCTCTTCCCCGTTTTTCTTTCGCCATTTCTCCTCATCCCCTCGTCGCATGTCTCGTTAATGAGTAAGATAATACCGTCTGCCGGAATCGGGAATCATGTCGGAAACCACGCCGCCTCCCTCCACCAAGCGTACCGAAACTATGGGTACGATGGCCACCATGGTGGGCAGCGATGCCGAAACGGCCAATGGCGATCATCACGATCTAGCCGATAACCTCGAAGACTACTTTGTGAGTGAGGCCACAGCAGACGGGTAGAGAAGAAGAAGAAGAATTTCTTCTCCTTCTGTTCCTCTCCTTCCTTCTAACTCGTTCTCAGGTTGGTCCCCGCAACTTGGCTCACCATTCGAAATGGCCCATGTTTCTCCAGCTTCACGGCAGCGTCACACCCCGGATGATCCTGCCGATAGCCTTCACCGGCGCCTGGGCTACGGCTATCAGCTGTATCTCACACTTTGTATACAATCGTTCGTCATCCGTTTCCCGGTATCATTGACCTACCATGCCCGCCTCTCGCTAACGGCAGCCTCTAATCCCAGTTGGCATCGACTCCGTCCTTCTCACAGTTCTCGGTTTCGTCGTCGGTTTATCTCTTTCCTTCCGCAACTCCACTGCGTACGAGAGGTATGCTGAGGGACGCAAGTATTGGGCACAGCTGTCTCTTGCCACGCAGAATCTCGCTCGACTCGTCTGGGTGCACGTCGCTGAGAGGGAGGACTCACAGGTCGAGGACCTGCTCGCCAAAGTAACCTTTTGCAACATGCTCGTCACCTTTGCCTACGCCCTCAAGCACAAGCTTCGCTTCGAGCCCTTCACCCACTATGACGATCTGGCGCCTCGCCTCAAGCACTTGAACGTGCTTGCCGCAAAGGCCGAACCCCGCGAATTCTCGAACCCTTCGGCGCTGCGACGAGCCGCTCGAGCGCTTGGCTTCCCCATGGCTGAGTCCAACCCGCGAAAACTCATCAAGAAATCGACCAAGCCCCTTGGAAACGTGCCGCTGGAAATCCTCACATATTGTTCCGAGTACTTTAAAAGCGTAATTGATAATGAAACTTTCAAGGCGCCCATCTACCAGACCCAAGCCCTCAACATGCTGACGACGATGAACGATATCCTTACTGGGACCGACCGGATCCTCAACACGCCGCTCCCCATTGCTTATTCGATTGCGATCTCGCAAATCACCTGGGTGTACATAATAGTACTACCCTTCCAGCTTTGGAATCGTCTTCATTGGGTCACCATCCCAGCAACAATGTTTGCGGCGTATATTATACTGGGTCTTGCGCTTATTGGCCGTGAAATTGAGAACCCGTTTGGCGACGACGTGAACGATTTGCCCCTCGAGGATTTCTGCGAGCAGATCCGTCGCGAGATTGACGTGATTCTGGCCAGCGGCGCACCGGGCTCAGAGGATTTCATCTGCAAGGACGACAACCTGCTCCTGCACCCTCTGAGTAACCACGGCTACCACTTCCTCAAGCAGAAGACGCCGGAGCAAGTCAGACATTACCTGAGGACCAAGATGGAGAAGGGCGTGCGCAACCTGTAACGTCTGGGTGACGCCCTCTTGCTGAGGTAACGGTGGTGGGATGGGGCAACGGCCCCAGTCTATGTAGTCGATCAACTCGATCCTACCCGCCCTCCGCTACACTAAACCCACAAATTACATTCCATCACCACATTCTCGAGCGTGGCTTCAGGGGTTGGCTCCTCGCATTGCATTGCTTGTTTTTGCATTCCTGGAGATTTAATTAACATACAAACAGCATATACCCTGAAAGAACCTTCTTTCAACGGGTTCATGGGCCTCGGCGCAACAACCAGCCCCGGAGCATAGCGTTACGGCATCAACAGGTGTTTTTTTTTTTTTTTTAACGTCATATTATTTAGGTATCCTTTGTGTGTTTTCTTTAAAGAAGGGACGGACATCAATTATTAGACCAGTTGGAAAAAAACGTATCTACTGGTTAGGAGGGCATGCTTCAGACGGCGCTACATGGTAAAATTGTATCTTACATCATTGATTCATTCTGACTTGACGATCTTCCAAGTCCCAAAAAATAGACTGCGCTGCTTTTGATTCAAAGACAATAGATTTCACTACCCTTTACCTGGAACGGCTCTTCAAAGGCGGGTGAGCATATTGTCCTCGTTAGCTTGCAGCAGCATCTTAACTGGTTCCCTATTGACATGAAGATGGAGATCATCATTAGGCTTTGCAGGGTTTATAATTGCCTACCGGGACGCTTATGTGGGGATTATGGGGTATTTATTAAGATACATATCAATCTTTCTTTGACTTGATACTTCAAGAGTGCTTGCACCGTATCTAACTGGCATGTCACGCAAACATGACGCAACATGAAGGAGCCCTTTTAACTACAAGCGTGGGTTTAATTCAATTCTCGTTTCCATATATCTAAGACGGGGGTCTTGATACTAGTAAAAGACTCTGAATAATGTAGTAGTTCTAGAGGACCCTGTACTCAACCCAGAACGAAAGTATTAGTCTCCAAGACAATGTCAATGAGTTTATCACCAAATCACATCAAAAATCGAATGCTGACTGAATGCATTTCATTGAAATAAATCTCGTTCCGACTTTAATATCCTCCAAGTTCAGCTTGCTCGCTTCCCACCTCTCTCCCTAATAAACTACGACGAAAACCGGCTCACAATTGTAAAGCAATTAATAAGGACCTCCCAATCTGTACATCCGAAACTATCAAAGTAAATTTGCTTCAAATTCAATGGTGCTTCTAGCACCCAGCGAATATGCTCTGCGCAAAGAGGGCATACGTGTCAGCGTGGTTGATATTCTGCGCAGCAGTCAAGTTCTGAACCGAGGCGATTCCTAATACAAGCGTTAGTTGATCCGAAAGCGCAAAAAAAGAGCACGTTGAGTGTTATTTATTCACTCACCGTATCCGCCATAGTCGTTTGTGCCCTTGATCTGGCTCAGGTGCGTAACCTCGTGGACGATGGTGTTCGACTGGGACTGCCCATTGCACGACTGGGAGTTTAGGGGCAGGCGGGTGAGGTAAAGGTTGCAGTACACCATGTAGCTGGCCTGGGCCACGGTGTAGGCGAGGACGCCCTCGGCGCACGAGTTGAAGCGGTCGGAGCAGTAGAGGGAGGACACCCCGGAGTCGAAGGTGAGGCACTCGTTCTTGACCTTCTCGAACACGCCGGCGACGACCCCGCGGGTGGCCTTGTCGACGGCCTTGTAGTACTTCAGCATGCGGGCGTCCGGGCCGAATGACGCGGCCTGGGTGGCAGTCTGGGCCAGGCTGGCGCAGTTCCTCAAGGCCGCCCTGACGACGGTGAGGTTGGTGCCGACGCAGTCCGGCTTGACGATTGTGCGCTTCTGGTCGAGGACCAGGCGGGAGCGGCCGGCCTGCTGGCCGTCGACGTCGGCCTGGATCTTGTTCGACACGTAGGGGAAGACGCCGACGAGGGTGTTGGAGCCCTGGTTGGCGAAGGGGATGCTGCCCGTGGCCGAGATGTCAAACGTGCCGCCGCTCGAGAGATCGCGGATCTGCCCGACGTCGAACGTGACCTCAGCTGTCTGCCCGGCGTCGATGTCTTGGAATGCACTGTCCTCGAGCATGTCATATGCAATGGTCAGATGGATACCGCCAAAGGCAAGTTCCTGGTCTTCGATATATTTAGCCTCCGTGTTCTGAGCAAAAAGGGGGGAAATATTGATAGATTTTTAGTACCATTCTGAGCCACCTGTACCTTCTCGACGGGTGTGTTGCCGAGGATTGTCCCGGTTTTGAGCAGTCTGAGCTTGGAGTTGCCATTGTTCGTGATGCTGGCCTTGACGTCAGAATTACCAACCATCTCGAGCTTTACGCTTAGAGCATCGGGAGAGCCTTCATTGCTGTGGAAATATGGAGCCGCTGAGGCCAAAGAGGCTAGGGAAAGGATGCTGGAGAACTTCATGATGAGCACGCTTGAGCAATGAAGCATCGAGGACTACGCCAAGCTCGGATGGTTGTAGATTGATATAAGCAAGCCGGTATGGAAAGGGAGGGAGCCAGGGATAGATGGTTCCCTCATATTTTCACATGGCATTTAAAGCACGACGACGAGATATGGTGGCTGCGGGTTGTTTCAGTGAAGACAGAATCTCGGTTTTAGACACCTCGCTTGGTACCATGACCGGATGCCTCACGGTACGTACGCACTCGAAGCAGCCCCCCCCCCCCCTCTCCCATCAACCACATGATTATTATGATTATCTATCACGCCGAAATCACGCCCGGGGGGGCATAGGTGAGGTAGTGAGACAATGGGATGCCCGTTTCGACCAGATGCTTCTCACATTTTCGTAAGTGGACATGGGCTTGCATCAGTCACCAATGGCAAGGAGCCACGATCTCCTTGATGGAGCAAGGTCTGCGGAAATCGTGATCCAACTATCCAAGCATTCCCTAACCATGAAGGGGATATTAGTGGGCTAGATGCTCAAGATGGTCATGATGGAGTAAGTAAGCGGTTGCGGAGACTCCCCGTGCTGATCGACTCAATAACGGCCTCTAGGGCGATGAGGTACTGCATTGTATACGAGGGTCACAGAGTCCAGATGAGCCTATTTTAAGGCTTATTTGGGCATCAACGCGGATGTATAGGCAAGAAGATACCTCCCCGTGACCTGCAAACTTATGCCCACTATAATGAGACAAAGGCTTCCCACTGTTGGCTCCGTGATGAATCAGTCATGACACACAAGATTCCTGGGAAGCAAAAGGTCTGTTTCGGAGAAAGCTTCATGGAAATCAGGATTTCCCTCCTCCTGCTGATCCTTTTTGCCAGATACATGACATATGATATGAATGGTCCAGACTATCCACGTCTCAGATGTCGCCGATGGGAATAATGTGGCTCACCCTAGGCATAGCGACGAGATAGAGGAGATACAAGTCTGAGACAACCCAACCGTTGCCAATAGAAACTAGTATTTCGACGAGCTTACCCCGACAAATGAATCGAGATGTCGGCCGTCGGAGTTTAGAGTGTTCGGGGGGTGTCGGTGCATGGAAGAATAGCACACCTACTGGAATGGAGGGGATAACATGACGGTGCAACACGCGTCGCACTCTCAGAAGTAATTGCCCAGAGGTGCGCCACATACGTTGTTGCCTTGCTGCTTCTTCTTGCCCTTCTCACCACAATTCTTTAGACTGGGCGTACTTTCAATCCTCGTATACCTATCGTGTGTGCCTGTTCGACATCCAAGCCCTCTTCCTACTGATTATGTGAACCCAGACCGCCATCTCACTTTGACATATTCACTCTTCCCACTAAGGGGGGTAAGCATCGCATATGAGACTAACTTGAAAGGTAAAGCATTTGGGGAAAATGGGCTTCAGGGACTTTTCCATATGCACCTACTCAAGAGCAGAGACATCTACGTCAGGGTACCGATGTCCAGGCTCAGGGACCGTTTATCTTGGCTGTCTCGTGAGCAGCTGTCTCGTGAGCATGCTTACACACCAATATGGCGATCTTCAAGTTTATCTCGGGCCTTAGGAGCAACGTTCCTTGGCGAACTGGCTTATCTTACAATGAATGACACATAGACTGTTCATGAAGAGGTAGATGAACACGTCCGAAGATGACTTCATCAGGGCGTGACCTCGGCTGAACAAGGTCATACCATGGTCCTCCTATTTTATGACCTTCACTTTGTGCAAATAGCAAGAGTCTGAGTTGCGTCTCGGAGCACCCCCCATTTCCGCCTTAAATGTGAATCATTCAGTCAGTATCAAGAACCGCTGTGTGCCTCCATCATTCAAGGAGAGTGCCTCTATTATGAAGAGCAAGTATGCAGATATGGCATGCGTGGTTCCAATATATTTCATTCATTTCGAACTAGTTATTAGGTCTTCAGTTTTTTCCGAATATAATTATTGTGAACCTTGATGACACAAGTGCATGTTCACCCTGGCAACAATCTCCATGTCATTACTAAAGCCCACAGGGATCAACCAGACCAAAGGATCAAACGACAAACGATTAAAATGAAAAAGAGAAAGAAAAGCGTTGCATGGGGCATATTAGATCGCTATTGATAGCCCTCATCTCTTAAATCCGGGTGGGAACGGAGGGTCGGTATTTGGCTGATCCATGATCTCAAGCCAATCGGGGAATCGCTCACTCTTGCCGTCGTACAAGTCGTACGGTAACGGCTCCCTCCAAAAGTCGTTCTCCAACCAATGCGCATCATCTTTCCGATCCATCGACATACACTCCCATTCCTCAGTGCCATACCACAGTACAGTCCTTAGATTTGCATGTCCTCCCTCCGCAATTGATCGAGCTAGCGAGAGTATACGCTCTTCTTCATCGAATTGCTCGAAATCGATGCAGAGCAACTCCAATGACTCGGGTAGAAAGTCGGAAAGATTTCTTTCGCTTGGTGATTCTGTCTCTGTCGAATTGAAGTTCCAGATATGTTCAGCTTCGAGGGTGACGTATTTTAAGTTGCTGAAACTTCGGAGAGATGTGATTTGATATTGGCCGTCTGTGGGCGGTTTCCAATCCGGGAACTCGTCGAATGGAGAACTGATAATATTCCAGTAGAAATCAATTTGGAGAACCTCTAGCGTCGCTTTATGAGGTTCCAGAGCAATCTCAACCTCTCGAGGCAAAGGAGCATGTTCATTAGTCGACAGATAGGAAAACCGCAGAAGAGCAGGTGCCTTGGTCAGTAGAGGATTCAGCTTCGACCAAGAGCCTCTCATTTCTAAACACAGCTCCTGGAGACGAGGTAGTTCTGGAAGAAGATAAAGAGCCCCAGCTGTACAGTGTAAAGTTTCGAGAGTGGAGGAGGCAGCGGTGGTAAGAAACAGTTCCACAGGACTCTCTGGAGCAGGGTGATTACAGTCTTGATGATCTGGAGTGCATGTATCGTTTTCCAGCTTCTCCAAGGTGAATTTGGCGGAGCAAAGTGATTCCAACAATCTTCGAGGTGTTGGCCCTTCTTGGTTGTCGTACCATGTCGAAAGTGCGCCAAACCTCCAGTGTCTCGGAATATGAAGAGTCAGGCTCTTAAGGCCAGGGAACAAGGCCAACATGAACTGCACAATTGTTTCATCCATATTCCAAGTTCGCAATTGGTCCGCGCGGAAGGCTAGGCCGTTCTCACTCTCTTGGCTGTTCAAGATCGCCTCTAAGTCCCTGGTCATGCGCTCCGACATGTATCTAACACAGCAGCGACAGAGAGAGCCTTCAATCATCACATTGATGTCGAGAGCCTTGACGTTGCCTCGAAGATGGGGAGACCTATATATTGATCTCAGGAAAAAGTAGGCTGTTCTGCGAAAGGTGCGAGCATGATCATTGCGTCTCTTAACATCAAATGCGAAGACGTGGAACAAAATTGGTTGCGCAATTGAGCGGACAAGTTTGGATACGTTGCATAGGCGTCGTAAAATTGTCTGACCTCCAGAATGAGGACGTTTTCTCGCATCGTCAGGCCATTTCGTTGATGCACAGTGTTCACAAAAGTTGCCAAAGATAACTTGCAGAATCTCAGGTGAAAGGGACGTCAGAGAGCTTTTCGAGCCTCGCAAGGCTCTTGGGCGGAAGCTCATGTGAATGGATGTGACCAAGAGGCGCGAGAAAGGGATGGAAAACTTGGGGAAAATGTGCGAGTGGAAGAAAAAAAATATGACGAGGAGTGCAGTGGTTTCAAAGAGGGAATGGCAGAGCCTCCGCGACGACAGAGCTCTCTCTCATGAATAGAATCCCATGAAGAGTGTCTCGAGGAGAATCAGAAGGAAGAGGGGAGAGAGAGAGAGGGGAGAAGTGGAAGAGTAAGGTAATTTCGATGTGGCCTGAGGCAAACAAGAATTCAAGTTCTCGCCTGTTTGCCGAGGGAAGGTGCGTTGGTGGGCAACTGCGATGGGGCGAAAGGCACGACTGGACAATGGAAGAAACTGGTTGAAGATGAGAATAATAATCCACTAGGTTCACTTTCATGTAAAGCATTTTAAAAATTGGGCACCATCGTCAAATCCCCAAGCGACACTTGCTCGCTCCGGACATGAGGCTCTGGCCATGTAAATTTAGGAAGTTAACGAGAAGCCTTACTCGGCCGGTAGGTCCAACTTGCTGTGGGAAGGCAAGGATACCTGTGTTCTATGGATCGCGTTACTTTCCCCTAGCGCTAGCAGCCTCATATCCCTATGCCACAGTAGCCTCTAGGCACAGAAAGGTAGGTAGATTTAGACAGGTTCCCAGCTGGCAGCAACAAAGTGTGATTACAGCTGCGGATGCATGTTGGCGCGGTGCATCACATGAAAGGGACTTCTAGATCCCCACGTAATCCACGGGTCGAGAAGCGACCAATCGTAGCAGCCGGTACATCGCTCCTGTGCCTAAATGCACACTCGTTGCGGGGTGGCCTCATCGCAACTCTCTTCTTTCAAGTAGGTACGCAAAACATCTCTATCCTAACAATGTTGACCCGCACATATGCCACCGAAGGCGAGTGGGATGATGTAGTCCACAATGACGAGTCAATCCAGGCCGAAGCCGATCGGTTGAACAACCCAAAAATGGACAAATCCACTCAAGAACTGGTTCGGTGGATCAAAGATCTTTATGCCTCTGGTGCTAAGCTGTGGACCAAGGAGATGCTATCCGATGTTGAAGCTGAACTAACACAGAACCCGGTTCCACAGACAATTTCACTACGAAGCAGTGCGTATTCTCCATGAGCCCATAACGACCTAGACCTAGATATGGGACTAATCTTCAGGAATAAGTGAATGGAAAGAATATCGGACAACTTGTGCCTTCCCCACCACCAGTCACAAACTCTGGTAGCGATGAAATTCCGTCAGTTTGGCCCAATTTTTTTCCTCGCTAGGCAATAATTTACTTACCTGAGATAACAACAGTTCGCTCACAGTCAAGTTTAAATTATATCAAAGTATCATCGAGAGAGCAGAGCAAAGTATGTTGGAGTCTAATAAGGACCACTATTCCCGTTTCACTCAGGAAGAAATTCAAATACTCGCCACTCGGGGCGTTGGGATATGTTTTGCGACCTTTGAAAAGTCAAATGCCGATTATTACAAGGTGCAGCAATCTTGGGTCGAAGCTCGACAGAATTGGCTCAACAGTAGCCTTTGTAAGGAGATATCTGAGATTATTGGAAGCACTGTTGATATATCAAGACCAGTCACAAGAATTGTCTGCTTCGGACTAGGAAGTCTAGCCAGATCTATTGAAGATCCCGTTCGTATGGCAGATGACGGTCTACCGGTCCATGGCCCAGGAACGCAACATGCTGCAGCACTCACATTGTCAACAATTCTAGGCGAACGATTGGGCAGAGAACCACTTCCTGTAATGGTTCAGGATCCAGCGTACAGCGAGGCTGACAAGAAGATATTGAAAGAAGCCGGCATCGAGGTGATAGGCGGCTTCGGGTCTCTCGGATTCACGCATGTTGATGAAGAGACAATCGTGTTCAGTTGTCATCCCAATATACCAGTGAGGCAGATTGTGGCTGACATAGCCAAGCCTGCGGCCATGATATGGAATAAAGGTCGAGCTTCTGAAGAGAAGGCTAAATACAAGGTCTTTGGGTGGCAAGGTAAAGAGGGATTATCTTCGTGAGTCTCTATCCTATCGCAACATGCCAAGCGCATTTGTAGCAAACCAACAGAATTCTCAACCCAAGTTAGGCCATATTTTACCGACCATGACTCACCCCGCACAAGGAAACTACTCCAAGACTATGACGAATTTGATTTCCCTAATTGTCACTCTCGCTTTGGTGATCTGGCCATCTACGTGCGGAAGGGGTGATCAATACTCAATAGCTATCTGAAGGGCGGACAGAACGTCACACAGGAGCATAAGCGAGAGCTTTATCGAAAAACAAGGACAGAATTGGGATAATTGACTTTCTCTTGCCGCTTGCCCTATCGGTCTTCGTTATTGCCACCTACAGTAGCGTACCTTATATTTGGATCTGACAAGTAGTACATCCATCGAGATGGTTCAAGTGCCACCAAGACAAAATTTTATCAGGCAGGCCGCTCAAGATTTGAAAACTCTTTGCTACTCTTTCCCCCCAAGTTACTATGGCGCGAGATCTTTCATACATCAGTTTACTATATTCCCAATAATGCAAACATACCTCCCAATTTAGTGTGGCACTTCACCAATTATTTCTTTTTCTTTTTAAGAGGAGGCTTGTAATAACTATATATGCTTTTTGACTCTTATACTACCCAGCTTATGCTAAAAACTCCTCAAACTAACCTTTGCAGAATAAGGCAAGTCATACAACTTCACTGTTACTGTCTACGCTGGAATCTAACCGGCTACTTTAGCGCATTAGGTTCATTTAAATAGGTAGTACGATGACATGGACAAGACTTGGCATCAACGCACGGGTGTAGTGCCGTTTCAAGTTTGGAAAAACAGGCTTAGGCCAACGCATGATACCACTTTCACTCTCGGATAATCGTCAAAGCCATGAGTTTTTGGCGTGATGAACATACCAGGTCGCCAGGTTTAAAATAAAGCCAGGATTCAGAACAATAGATTCGTTTTTCAATCGTAAGGCGGACCAGTGACCATCATTTTGAGAGAAAGCTTCGGTGGTCCAATCCAGAGAAACATCTTCCAAAGGACGAACTGCTCCGCTGTGGCGTACAAAAAGACAGGATGCCTAACTACAGTACGATGCGGGTCAAGAGCCAGTTCAGGAGTAGCGTCTTCATGTGGCATCGCTTAGGAAGTGCCGACAGCTGTCAATCTTATGCATCGCTGCTTGGGCCAGCCAATCGTGCCCAGTGAATGTCATCAAGTTCATGCAGCCACCAGCTAGCATGGGCCACTTGCGTTGTCAGATACTTAAGACTCTTGTCATCAATCGGTTTTTTTGGTTATTCTTCATGGAATTCTCTAGTACTTTGTTTTCCAAAATTAAATTCCAAATATGAATATTCGGAGGAGGATTGTTGTCAATGCCTTGGCGTTGCCAGCCGCCTTAGCCGCAGCTGTCCCGCGTATGATGGAATACCAGAGACACTCGTTGATTACCCGAAACGATGACGACGACGACGACGACGACGACGATGAAGATGATGATAATAAGAAGCGCGCTCTGGCAAAGGGTGCGATTATCGGCATCGTTGTCGGTGTTGTCGCATTTGTTGTCTTTGCTCTTGTTGCAGCCCTCTGTCTTTACCGTCTGAAGCTGAAAAGAAGGAAGAAGAGAAATGAAAGAGACGATTCTCAAGACAATGAAAAGAGTAGCAGGATTGCAAACAGAAGCAAGGTTGTCGATGTCAGCCACAGTGTCGACAACCCCCCGGCTGTGGGCAACAATATTGAGACCTCAAGGGATATGGGCCATCAAGACGAGATCCACCACGAAAGGCCCAGAAATGCGTACAACAATGACCTTATGGATGCTCCCAGTCAAATCGGCCCCCACAATGAAATAACACCCGCGGAGAACCTGGCTGCCAACGTTGACGCCAGGACCGATACCCACGCTGGCGGGAGTCAGTACGAGATGAACACTGCCAGAACCGTCATCTCCGAAAATCAGGGCCTAAATAATTTTAGAAACACGATTATCAGTGTCAGCAGTATGGACGATGATGATTACAATCGCTACGACCACACACCTGAAAGGGACGGATGCCGCGGAACCCCCAACAACCCCCGGAGTGCCATTTAGAGGCAAGGAAACGAAAGTAGTATTGGAATGCTACTCGCCCATGACTCAGTGTTCCATCGCTTGGCAGACGACTGGCTCGCTAAACAGCACCTACATCTCATCCCAGCCACCACGAACTCCGAGCTAATATCCGAGCACAGACTGGGGTCGCCACACGTATTCGCAGTGAAGGATCTTGAGATGTGAAAGGCCGGCGCCAAGTCTTTGAAGACCAATTTTCAAGTCAGATGAATAATTGTATCCAGTTTTTTATTCATGGATAGGGGTGATTTCCTGCTTAGGTAGGCGGACCTTGGATCGACAGTGTTTCCTAGGTTGGGATAACAAATAGCCGACCAGAGCAGGGGTGATTTCCAGGTTTTTACATAAAATACACCGTCACCTCCTGATTCTGGAATGGCGTGTCAGAATATGTTTTGTCAAGATGTAGTATTCGCTTTATGCATTATTCAACGCTGCTGGAAGTCGTTTTCCCTTGCAGACATCGGAGTCGGGCTAAGTTGTCTCAATGTGCTCAAGTTTAAGATATCATTAACCTGATAATAGAGCTTATCTATATACAATGATCATAATCCTTCCAAGACATAATGGGCCTAGACCTCAACAGCTATGTGAGGCCCAATGGAATATACCCGTGAATAACATGATGCGTAAATCTCCCGTTTCCGTTTCCTCCCAAGCCGCTCTTAGTGCAACTATCTAGAGGTTGTTCATGCGAACGCTCGTGTTAGAGGTAGAGTCCTTGCCCACTGCACCTTCAACGCCCTGCTCAAACTTCTGCTGTCGGACGACTCTGTTCTGCTGGAGTCTACGGCGGTAAAGGAAGAGTGCGGCGAGAGCGATGATGGCGACACCGGCGACAGCTCCAACAACGATGCCAGCAATGGCACCCTTGGAGAGACCACCACCACCGCTGGATGAGCTACTGCCATCGTTGGATGAATCGGAGCCGCTGCTTGAGCTTCCAGTAGATGTGCTGGCAGGAGCTGTAGAGGTGGTGGAAGAGTGGAAGTCGAAGCCAGGTCCAGCCTCATCATCGGCATCTGGTTCCGTGGCGTTGAAGCAGGGGATAGAGATCGTGAAGGCCTTCTCCTCAACGAACTTGACATCCGCGCAAGCATAGAATGTTTGGTTCTCGGGCTTATCAAAGTCGGCAATGTACTTGATCTGGAAAGTGGCGAAGTCGCCGCTCTTGACATGGTCGGGAATGTCGCCGACGGGAACGCAGGTGTGGCCAAGCTCCATCTCACGGAACTGCTCGGGGGATGTTATTACTTTGAAGTCAGTGTTCGACTTGGGGTCTGTTTTCATGTTAGCTCTTCACTCTCAAACAAACATAAGGTGGATCTTGTTAGAAGAAGGTCTTGGAGACATACCGGACATGTAAGCAACGCTGAGCTGGATGTCGTAAGATTCATCCTGGGCAACGAGAGCAACTTGGCCCTTGTCTAGATTGATTCTGTTAGATGAAATTCCTAGTAGTTCTGTTTTCCACCAGTCGATGGAGAAGAAGACTTACCCAGAGGGAAGTCAGTTCTGTTGCTGTTGTTGGGAGAGGCAATAGAACCACATGGGGCGGTGTTATCAGCGTCCCCGGACCAGACCCGATCGGGAGGCCACATGAAGGCAGCAGGGCCCATGTTGGTGTACTTCGCATTCTGGGCGGAGGCGATAGAGGCCAACAGGGCCAGGCCGGCGGTGATGGACTGGGAAAACATTGTGCAGCGAACCGAGATTACGATGGAGAAAGGGGTATCAAGAGGAACAGTACAGTGAGCAATGTCAAAAGGACGCACGCATAGTTCCGAGAGCCCAACGGTCGGTTGGCCACTTCATATAGTCGATATCGCCAAGTCTGCCAGCCCCTCTTTTCGCTATGGCGACAACACAACCCGCCTCCAGCAGTATCTGTGGTAACCTTGCCCCATCATGCCCGAGGGCAGGAAAACTCTGCCACCACCATCTTCCCGTAGAGATAATCTATTGATTTTGGCCCAACTCCGGTTAAACCGGGTATGATGGGGGAGGGGAGCCTGCAGACCAGCCAATACGAACAAGAGGCATGCAAGAAGCGGCATTCACCGTCGTATCAACGACCTCTCCAGTGTCATCTGGGGTGCAAGTACATGCAGCCAAGACTACTAGAGCTTCCTGTTTCTGACCCGTGTCACATGTTAGCGCCCTGGTCAAAACAACTATTGCTCCCAGCCAAGCAGGCGAATTCGGGCCTGCGGGCTCCGGAGGTGAGGCATTATTATCAGATGATCAGATAAGCAAGGATTAAATAATCTTATCTGATGGTGGGGGTCCTTGCTATTGGCCGAGAGCCCGTATGGCCCCATATAACAGGGACAACGCTTGGCTTGTCAATTTACTGTTAAACTCCTACCTTAAAGGCTTTGGACCAGGGTCCGTTTGGCTAAGGCCGGTCTCGCTACCTTATATTCAATAGAGCCGAACGCGGTGGCGAATGAGGATCGAGGATCAAAGGTGGTTCGACTTTCGGAAGGTAAAATCTTTGCATCGGCCAACCCCTCCTCCAACGGTAGGGCCCCCCCTTGTGATGCAAAAGTGCGTTTGGCACCAGCTAGTCATGGATGCGCTCTCGGAGCTAACGCGAGGAGCGTCACTGCAACATGAACGCTGGATCAGGCAGGGATGAGGCCGACCAACAGAATCCCAGGCCTGGTTCATCAAGTGGGTGCTGAGGGCGTCCCTCGCATGCCCGACGGGAGTATGCAGATTCCGCTCGCTGTAAAAGAAGGGTATAAGTAAGCTTGTTTTCCATCTCCTAATGGGTCGGAGCACACTCGTCCAGTCCTCTAACTCGCAAGACAGAGCCCATCAACGCCCTCTCTGATCCATTGACCCTCATTGTCACTCGCTTGAACACCCTCACAATCCACAATGCGTTTCTCCACCACCGTCGTCCTCGCAGCTACTGCTGTCAGTGCTGCCTCCATTACCCGACGCGACACCTTCGAGTTCCCCGAGAACGTTCCTCTGGCTGAGAAGCGTCAGGAGCCTGGTACCCCCCGCTACGAGTGCCACGCCAACTGCGGTAGGAAAACACCCCGTCTTTGACAAGCAGTTCTTCCCGATGACTGACAGTTCCGTAGGTAATGCCCTGAAGATCTCTAGGGAGTCGGACTTCAGCTGTGACAACTCCGAGTTCACCAGCCAGTTCAACGCCTGTCTTGACTGCGCCCTTGAATTCGACATCTGGCAGTACTATGGCAGCGGATTGACCACCGCCGCCGGCAAGTGCGGTCTCAATGCCACCCCCAAGCCCACTGGCAGCGACTCCAGCAGCGCCGCCCAGTCGACTTCCGCTGCTCCCACCTCCGCTGCTCCCACTTCAGCTGCCCCTACTTCCACAGCCGCGTCCTCAGCTGCCCAGACCTCGGCCGCCGAGACCTCTGCCGCTTCCTCTAGCGCTGCTGCTTCCTCCAGCGCCGCCGCCTCCTCCAGCGGTGCTGCTCCCTCATCCTCTGCCGTTCAGACTGGCGCATCCAGCTCCGCCTCCGCCTCCAGCGGCGCTGTTGCTTCCACCACCCCGGGCTCTGCTGTCAGTACCCCCACCTCCGCTGTCCCTACTTCCGCTGTCCCTACTTCCAGCATCGCTGGTGGCAACTCCGTAAGAACCGCTGATTTTCAATGTGTATCCGACTCTTGCGCTGACTCTTGATTTACCAGACCATCACCACTGGCTCCCCCAACACCCCCGTTCCTACTGCCGGAGCTGCCCAGCTCTTCGGCTCCAAGGTTCTGGTTGCTGGCGCTGCCATCTTCGCTGCCGTCAACATGATGTAAATTTATACAACCTAATCCAGTCGTAAATTGATCTAGGGGGGGGAGGGAAACGGATAGCCACCAGCTGCGGCTTGCTGAGATATTGTACATAACCTTCGTCTCCCTCATTGGGGAGGTTTAAACATATTTGTAATATCGTTTAATTAGCTATGTGGAAAGAGGAAAAGGAGAGAAACTCAGAAATACGAGTGTTATTTCAACACCATGCCCCCAAATGCTCGATCCAATGCTGCCCCCTCGTCCGCGACCGCCGCCTGCTGGCTCGTCACGGCCCTCTGCTCCTCCGACTCGTTGTCCATTAGGCTCGGGTCGCCCCCAGCCTTCTCGGGCTCAAGCATCCTGGAGTCGCTATCCAGCCAGCCCGGCGCCACCCTCCGCTTCTCTGCCAGCTCTCTCTCGTCGATGCGCCCCTGGAACTCGCGCAGCTCCCGCTCCGCATCCTCCTGCATCTTTGTGATATGTGCCTGGAGCGCGCGACACGATGCTATGATATCGTCTGGGTGCGCTGCTTGGCCTGATGAAGAGACTATGTATTTGGGCTTCGGTTGCGACGAGGGGTCGTCTGATGCGGTGGCTACGCCGAGCGACGAGGGTGGGATGGTGGAAGGCATAGTCTTATAGTTGTATGAGAGCGTAGTGGCAGTCGGAAGCGAAACGAAAGGCGAAACGGTGAGCGGCACCTGCTCCAGGAGGTGATGAGGGCCTAGAAGAACCAGGTCAGTGTTTCCGTAACCAACCACTCCACGTCAGGCGGAGTAAGCGTACGGTTATTATGCATTGCGACGCGATCGTCTGGTCGTCTAAATAGCGCGTGCTGGTCGTCTTCTTAGCTCGATAGTGTTGTACAGTGTCCTGTGAGAACCGGTCTTCACCCAATTAATCAATTGACTCAGTGTGTTGGATGGAATTCAGATGGGAAATCAGTCAGGTTTAGGCAGTCAAGTCCCTGCTGATCGTGACGTGATGACGATGACCATCTGACCTGATAAGATAAGCACCCGCGGAAGCTCCAACCCAGCGCCCCGCGTTAAGCTCAGCCTGGGCTGGAAAAAGAAAATCCTGAGCTTCATCCAGACATTCCCGCCAGCAACTCATACATCAATTGTGATACCCCCGCATCGATCACTGCTGCAGCCGACACAGATACCTCGCCATGCCGGTCACCACAATCCGATCGCCTCCTTCACTAGAGGACTACGTACCGCTGGCCGAATACCAATCACAAACCCCCGAGACCTTCATCGGAGGCAAGCCAGTCCTCCACTACCATCTCACCGGCGCAAAGGCCACCATTCCCAAGTCTCAGTGTGGGAGCTTAGCCCTCTTCCCCTCCGACTCCCCTACGGCAGAGCAGAGTAGCGCAAATGGCGAGACTGAAGAGCTGGTGGAGCAACCAGTGACTGTCTTCGTCAACTCAGAGTAAGAACCGCCCTCAACCTCTCGAGCACCGAACTTTAACTAAAACGTGACCCAGAACCTTCACAATTTTCAGCGACAAGGCCGAAGCAGGCGCCTCAATCCCCTACCCTTCCATCTCCATCCACGCCATCAAACAAGTCGGCTCCCAAGGCAGCCCAACCCAGGCCGTCTGGCTCCAGCTCGAGTTCGCCGACGGGGGCAGCGACGACGACGACTTCAACACCGTAGACCTCACCATCATTCCCCAGCCCTCCGAAGACCCCGCCACCCCATCCCCAGCCAAGCAGCTGTACGAGGCCATCGCGAACTGCTCGAACCTGCACCCCGACCCCGACGACGACGAGGAAGAGGATGAGGACAACTACGACCGCATCGTCTTCGAGGGCAGCGCCGAGCACGAGGCTCTGGCGGGCTACGAGGGTGTCCTGCGCGGCGCGGCAGACGGGTCCCTCCCCCCTCCCATGCCAGGCAGCGGCGGCTGGATCACGGCGGACAACGTCCACGAGTACTTCGACGAGGACGGGAACTGGAGAGGGGAGGGCGGCGAGGAGAGCGAGGCCCTCGGCGACGGGGCGGGCAGAACCCGTGGCCGGAACGAGGTGGAGGGCGAGGGCGAGGGCGTCAACGGAGACGGCCCTGAGGAGTCCAAGCGGCCGCGGACAGAGTAAAGCAAAGCGCGAGAGGACGATGAAAATAATCAGGGTCATCTGACGAGTGCACGAGCAAAGGCGTTTCCACGGAGAAAATATCAGATAAAAAAAGATAGATGGAATTACTAGGCCCTATGAGATTCTGCAAAACAAATGCCGATGGGAGTACTGGTATGTTTACTTTCAATATGTACATGAGCCCGCCCTCTAGTATTAAATTCTCTCAAAGATAGGAATATGTCCGTCGAAACCGAGAAGTCCAATAAGACAAAGGGAAAAAGAAAAATATCTAGTTGTGGATGAAGAGAAATGGGGAGAAACTCCCAGACAAATGAAAATTTGGAAAAGGAGGTAGATGCCAGTCTCACATCCTCCACTTGCCGCCCTTGTTGTTCTTCTCCGGCGACGGTATCAAGAACCCGTCCTTGTCGTACAGCCCTGTGCTCTCTATGCTCTGGTTACTCTGATGCTGCGGCTGCGCTCGCCGCGCCTGGTCACCTGCGCTGCTACCTGGTGCAATGGAGGTGGTATTTGGCAAAGGGACAGTCGAGCTCGGGCCCAGACGGCCCTCGCGCGGGTGGTCCAGCGTCTCAAACCTCACCGTCCTCAGATTAACAACCTGATTCTCCTTGTTCGCCTCCGTCTTCTCCAAGCCCGTGAGGGCCGACCGAGACCTCGCCACGCTGCTCTGCTGCTGCCGGACCTCCCTGTTACCCTTCAGCGCGTTCATGCCGCCCAGGCTCAGGTAATTCCTGTTGCCCGCGGCGGCGCTCTTCGAGTTGGTCCGCAGCGGGGAGGACCCGCCGGTGCCTCTGATGGACGGGACGCTCGCCGACTCCGCCGCCGTGTCACTGAGGAACGTCGACGCGAGCGACGTGACGCTGTACGAGCTCACCACGCTGTTCGTCCTCCTCAGCTCCGCGATCGTGCTCCCCACCGAATGGCCCCTGATCGACATGGTGCTCCCCAGCCCCCTGGGCAGCTCCGTGTGCTGGTCCTCGTGGGAGAACTCCACGTCGTAGACGGAGCTGGAGACGGACCCGCTGCGCGAGATGGGTGGCGGTGAGATGGCCATGTAGTTCGAGGTTGGTCGCGAAGAAGGGCCCGGTTGGATGATGCAGCTGTTTGCTCTCACGCATGAGGGTGGGACGGGGAGCTCTCGCTTAGGCTGTGTGCTCGCAACGAGCATCGACAGAACCTGGCGCCCTTCGAGGGGGGACGAGGACAGCCCAACGTCCGCCACCGGGCCGCCTCGCTTCATTGGCGTCGAGTAGCTCTCGGGACTGGAGGAGTCACTCCGGTAGCCCGCGGGCCTGGGGAAGTTCTCTGCTTTGGGCGTTACGGTCTGCTCCTCCTCATCGCTGGTATTGCTCTCGACGGAGTGCACAGAACAGGACACCAAGCTTGCCTCTGACGATTCCGAGGACAGGAAGAGACTTCTTGATGTCATCTCTGGCGTCATCGCGCTCTTGGGCCTCACTTCTTCCTGATTCCTGAAGTCGCTGTTCGATGGTGGTGGTAACCGGGTAGAAGAAACGGGTATTAGGCTAGTAGTCATCTTCGGCTGATCGCTTTGTGGACGGAGCGCCGTTCGAGCATTCACCGAGACAGTTCTCAGTGGCGCAGGCACAGCCGACTCATCGAAGATTTGTAGCCCCGCGATGGTCTTTGCGCGTCTAAGTGGGCGCGGCCCCGTGAGTTGCGGTCTAGTCTCCCTGGTACCCTTCACAACAAAAGGGTCGTCAGTCTCGGTACGCCGGACCTCCTCCTCGGGTTCCCCGACGCTATACAGCGTAGACAGGGCACTGGACGCCTCGCTCTCGATAGAAACGCGACGGAGGTATTCTTCCTCCTGCTGCCTAGTATCCCGCCCTGAGCTGCCTCTCATGGCACCTTGCTGCCAATGGTGTTGAGGTTGGAATTGAGGTTGGGGGATTGGTTGCTGCTTCTGCTGAGGAGCCGTCCACTCCTGTCCCCTCAGCCTACTTGGGCTCGACATACCCCCGGGAAGCTCAAGCTCGGCAGTCGCTTGTCTGATGAGGCTATTGGCCACGCTTCCAATAGAGGTGATGGATGCGTTGCGGCTGTGTGTCCTGACAGGTGTGGGAGTGCCAGGTGGTTGGCTGCCCCTCTTGCTTGGGCTGGGCGTCATCCTTCCGTTGCTGTGACTCGAGACAACAGTCCGTCCACTACGAGGCGTCTTACATGGCGAGCCAGTCTTTGTGGGCGACCCACCCCTTTTAGGTGATTTTCGAGAATTCTTTTCGGGTGACAGACTGCTTCCGTCGCGGAGTCGCTGTTCAGTCGAGGCAAGAATATCCCTGAGGTCTGACTCTGTAGCGTATGCTCTGATAGGCATCAACGGGGGGATTCTCGGCCTCCCACGTGGAAGCGCCGTTAGGCTTAGGAGGTCCGGGTCTGTATGGCTCTCGTTGATCGGCACCTGACGCTTCTGTACTTCGATCTTCTGGTTGTTGGGGGGTGCTTGAGCGAGCTTCTCCCGGGGAGGCTCTTCAAGGTCGGGCAAGGTCGGCGATCCGCTGAGCCACTCGTCTTTAGAGAACCAGCTGTCCCTGAAAGACAACCTTCGAACTCGCGGTCCATGGAGGGCTTCTTCGTCAACCCAGCTTCGCCCTCTCTCCCTTTTTCCGGCGCCATTGGTGAAACTGTTGTATGTCGGCAAGGGTGGCAGCACCGGAGGCAGCGTCATCGAGAGCCTACTTGACATCCGGCTGAACGACGATTCCGACAGGAATCCACGTTTTCCAGAAAAGAATTGCTGAGGTCTCTCGGATGATGGGTTTGGTGCATTCGCATAAACCACCATGTCGGTCGGTTTGAAACGTCGTTTGTACCACCAAGTGAAGAGGAGGCCGATAGCAACACACAGCAGGAGTCCTCCACCCAAGCCAATTGCAAGCAACCAGCCCAGCCCAAGACCAGATGACTTGGACCCTTCTCCTCTCGCAAGCATAGGTGATTGGTCCATTTCAATAGAGTGAGTATGAATATCCTTCAGTTAGTTAGCAATCTGCCTGCCAGCTCGGCGTTTCCACGATCTTGAGCTTGTTTGTAGACCTCACCACAACCAGCATCGAGAGAAAAAGTCAAGAGCGAGGAGCATGGATGACCACAAAGCGTGGCCAGCCAGTCTGATTTTGTTTACTATATCCATGTTTATGCTATTTTGATTACATCGTTGCCGCAAAGTCTCAGTACAATATCGAGAGGAATGTGTTGCTCTGCGTGATGCATTCCTGGGGAAATAATCATCCACCTTGGCCAGTGCTTACCATCATCCCTTCTCTCGTTATAGCTACGCTGTCACTGCAGAGGACTATTCGACTTGTCTTTTAGGGCACCCCTAATGCTTCTTGTTGGAATAACTACCTAAGCTATGATGGGAGATCCATAGTCATAAATCACACGACTGCGGTACGAAATCGAAAAAGAAACAAGGAAACACCATTCGCCGCCCACTGCTGCCGATAAAACTGCTTGCATATTTTCTTCAAGACTTATATTCTCAAAGACTTGGGTCAGATCTTTGCCCACAACCCAACGTAGGCCCTTGCCTGAGGGAGAAGCCAGCATCTGGAGCCAGTCCAGATCAAGAAAGTCGAAGTAAATCAAAAACATAGAAACAAAAACAACCGCACATCCATATGATATCCTTCCGGGGTGCCTTTTAGAAAAATTGCATTTTTTGGGCTTTCTCAGTCATTTGCTAGTACCTATACCCATGAGCATGAGCATGCATATGGGCTGCGCGTTTCTTTCGCTGAACGCTTCCTTCAGGTAATGATGTAGGGGGGGCGGTACCAGTCACAGTGACAGTACCGGTTGCCTCGATTCGCTCCGTGACCCAGATGAGCTCCTCCTCATACAAGATCTTTGTGACAATGTTGCCATTCGTGATGTACTGGGTAGACACGTAGTTGGCATTGGGATTCACTGGGTTGGGAGCTGAGGTCGTGGGAACAGGGATAGATGTCTGTTCAACGAAGACCTCGGCACTGCTTGAGGTAGCCGAGGAGCTGATGACCACCTGACTACTTGAGGTAGTAGTCGAGGAGCTGCTCGTGCTAGTCGTGCTCGTGCTAGTCGGGCTGGAGCTGCTACTGGTTGTGGTCGGAGCCGGAGCCACATAAACCGAGGTTTCCTTGAACACTTGACCAGGTAGCGGCGAAGCAGCGTCTGAAGGGGTCTGCCCTGGGGCATAAGTCAGAGCGGGAGTGGTCTTTGAAGGTTTGCTGTCTTCATCGCCGTCCGACGAACCATCCCCATAAGTGATCTCGACGTTTCCGGGCAATGAGCTAACAGGACCGTTGACGTTCTCCGAACTCAAGAGTGAGGGCGTCTTCATCTTACACTCCCTAGCCGTGGCCTCGTCCACGATATTGAAGAGTGGGCAGTCTTCAATCTTCCCAGACGCGTTGGTGCAGGTCTCAATGGCATCCTGTAGGAAATTAGGCTCCCATCCCATTATAAAGTCAGCATGGTAGCCGAAGCCTATGAGACGAGTTAGTATTTGCTCTCAATGTACCGCAGAATACCAAAGCTAACTTACCAGAAGGATCGCCATTGGACAAGACAAAAATTCCGTCACGGCCAACCAAAGCCTGAGTTTCCCAGATGACCTCATACAACAGGCCAGGGAGACGGACAGGATGGGTGTCGGGACAGTTACCATTCATCACGAGGTCAGGATAGGCAACATGGTCCTTGCTGTTACCAGAGTCCGTGTTTACACCATCCCAGCATGATGGGAACATGATCTCGAGCCTCAATCCATTCTTGCAGTTTGCATCAAGGTAAGCCTTGTCTGGCATGTAGTGGCGGTAGAGGGTGCCTTCAGCAGCCCTGTCGTAGTTGAGGCAGTTGAACCCAAGGGCTCTCTGCTCGAGGTCTTCCTGGGTAGTCTGGCCGAGGGATTTCCACAGAGACTGGGCGGGGTCAGCCAGACTTGGGTCACCAGCCGTGTAAGTACGCCGCGAGGTAGTACCACTCAGCATACGAAAGTTGGCAGGGTATCCGGTAATGTTCTCTGCGTTGAGGAGATAGTAGCTAAATTAAAGTCAGAACCCCAGACGAAATATGGTTCGATGAAAGAACCGATATGGGTGGGTGTGAGAAGAGCCACTTACGCCAACATGCCACCAGTCTGGTTTACTACCTCGAACTGACCTGTGCTCGCATCTTTGAAATACACAGCAGGGTGCCAGTAAGCAGACATGTCCTGAGTGACACGGCACGAAGTGCAGTCTCCAGCCATGAGTGACGCGGAATCGGCCGTCATCCCGATACCTAGTCGAATAACAGGTCAGCGTTCCGCATTGCAATCATTCATACCCGACGCGATATGACGCTAGCTCGGAACTCCCCAAGCTAGGCTGACCAGCATCCGTTCAACTACTTACCATTGGAACCGTGAATCGCGTGAACGTGTTTCGAGACCTCGCCCGGGTTAACAATCGGGTCGATTCGAGCAAGACCAACTCGGCCAGGGCACTCCATGCGCCAAAAAGCTTGGGCGCTGCCCAGCAAGCCGACACATGCGGCGATCAAGGTTTTCGCGAGCATGGTAACGAGTATCCAACCAGACCAGCGTAGGTGTGTGGTGCTTGTGTTGGCAAAAGAGTGAGTAAAAAAGAGTGTGGGTGGCACAGTGAGAGCTGCCAAGTGTCAGGCGTTAGTTGGAACAAACCGCGTGGATCAAAGATGAAAAGAGAAGAAAGTTTTAAAGGAAGGCGCGAGGCAGAGTGCGTGGATGAGCAGTCGTAACTTCTCGAGACGAACAGGGCTTCTTGTTGAAAGTGAGAGGGGGAGTCAAGGTGAGAGAAATGACAACAAGTTCTGAGAAGGAGGGAAGGCGCGAGTGAGGGCAGAGCGTGAGGTGCAGCGGCGGCAGAATGTGCCTCACCGCACTCGCAGATGCTGAGCAGGTGATGATCCAGCCGCCAGCAGCTGTCCGGCTCTTAGAACGTTTATACGTCTCTCAACGACGTGCACACGAAGGATTCTTGTGCCAAAAGTCAAGTACAGTAAAGGGCTGTTGGGGAAACGAGCGTTGTATTCGAGCGCAGGGCATCAAAGAGTTACCAGGGGCAACAGCGCAAACCAAATTTGTTGAGATATCGCAGGAAGGGATGGATAATGATGCTAGAAACCCTCAAAAGATCGCAGAGCAAACTTACTAGTTCGACTGAAGCGGCACTGCCGTCGTCAGGAAAGAAAGATGATGGTATAAGAATGAAAAAAGTTGGTTTGGTGAAGAGAAGATACCCAGATCGGCTCCCAGGACCGGTAGGCAATTCGTGGGGTTGGCTGGCTATTCAATGACTTTATCCCTCCGGGGCGAGTCTTTGGATTTTTCCTGCCTCGTCCACGACTTCTGAAACCAATAGAATTCCAACCCGAGGTCGCGATGGTCGACACGCGCAATTGGCACTGCCTCGGTCGGACGCGTTCCAGCGCTACTGATGGCTGGTTAAATACCTTATCAGGGCGGACGAACTAGAATGCCCAGCTCAGTGGTGCCGCAGACACAATTCCAGCGTCTGGTCGAGTGTTCGAGATGAGTGCCTGCTCCGCGATATGTCTCAGCATTTGGCCACCACACCAGATCTCCACCAAATGGTTGCCAAGGGGAGACGGGAAGTAGATAATCCTGTATAATAGGATTTCTATTCACCCTCCTTTCCTTGATTCTGAAAAAAAAAAAGAAGAAAAAACCTCGCGGACAGACGTACGGTATTTCAGGTTTGACTCTGTCCAACAATTCAACTGACGGCGGTGAGACGAGTTGAGCTTCCTTCAAGTCCCTCTACCAGGTCGGCCACCTGAACAAAATACTTGCGCAACAAATCGGGCGATCCGGGAAAGTTGAGCTGTAGACATATATCGTATTACTAGACTGGTCCTCCTGTGATTCCTCGTCGTCCTTGCGCACGTGCGCAAGAATCTCGTCCACTTACAAGTGAATGGCGAGCCTTGGTTTCGTGGAGTACCGGTCAGATCCTCCAGAAAGGACAGTGAAAAAGAAGCGGGGATATGTCCTTGCACGGAATGTATAGCGATTCAGTCAGAAACAGTTGTGGGCGAAACGGAGAGGCCGATCCTCAAATGCCGGTCAAAGAATGGAAAGCGTGCAAAGAGAGCTGTGAGTGAGTGACTATCGATAGCGAGCGAGAGTGAAGTGAGTGTGAGTTGGTTGAGCTGATGAACGAGCGTACGAATCCCCAAGAATCAGTCGGATGCGCTTTCTCCTCGGTTGACAAGTCAAGACCCTCAAGGGAGAGAAGCATACATCTAAAGGGAAGGGTTGAGCATTAAAACCCCGATGTAGAGGACATACGGAATGGTGAAACGGGGCCATTGAGTGCGACTCAGTGTGGAGACTGCTCCGGGAAACTGGCCAGGACCAGGGTCAATCCATCGCCAAGGATTCATCGGCAGCACCAGAGGGGATTGAAACACAATCGCCATGCCTTCATTTCCTCCATGACCCCTCCCGGGCTGCTCAGCCCACAACCCCCATTGGAGCCGCGCTGCCACGGGATCCGTCGGTGACCCAAGCAGCCAAACAAACGTTGACGGGCGAGGGAGTGCGACCTTGGACTGTCTGCATCCACAGTCCACACATGATCTCCTGACAGGCCCTTGACACTCCAGACGTCTCTGGTACACGCCAGAAAACCAATTTCTCGCCCTTTATCGCCCAACTGCTGGTACCAGATACGGGTGCACAATGGGGGCTCGTGCCGGCTTGAAGATCAATCATCCACCATTCCACCAGCCAGGGATACAAAAAGAGCGCCGTCAAATCGGTTGACCAATCTCATGGCTGCAGCTCCTCCGGGCAAGCCCAGTTCTGGCTCATTCCCGGCAGGGTTTATGAATAGGATTGCGAAGCTCTTGACCTACATAGTCAACGACTTGCTGGAATTGTCGACAGCCCTGATTGCGATAGGCACACTTGAGGCGGTATTGATTACATTCTCCACGCCAAGGGACACCAGATTTGCGTGACATTTCTCTAACAGGTCTCGCGTAGCGCCAGGAGAGAAAATCTTCTCAGAGATAGGTAAGTACTTGCTCACCTACTATCGCCAGTGCATGGGGCATCCCCTTCACACGTACCGTGTATGTACAAGAGATTTGCAGCCCCCTCTTGGGGATGGGACATTTGTCTGTCGCAAAAGCAGAGATATAAATTGGCATCGCCGGCCACCACCCAATGAGACCCATTAACTCGGCCCCCATGTCGGCACTTGACACTAGCTGGGAAAGGTATCCTATCATGTTCCTGGTGTCGATTTGGCAGTGTCATGCCGGCCGGCGCTTGGACGGTCCCTTACATGACGTATGAGTAATGTCCCGCTGCGGATCGAAATCCCGCCACACTGCCGAGCCTCAAGGGAGTGTGAAGGGATTGAGGAGTGATGGGAGATTCCCGGGCAAGTGCGTCATCAAAACGAGCAAAGAGGAGGGGAGGCAAACTGCATGCCTCGTTGTTCAAGCGCACGTAAATCCAGACAGCGCGGGCTATCAGGGTCTAGGCCAGAGGTACATAGTACGTAAGGTACCTGAAACGGCGAGAATTTCCTTCGTGCGACGTCTGTGTGGGGGGAGCCGGACAGCCCACCAACAAGCGCGTTTATTAGAGAGGTCGCAACTCCCAGCGGCCAAAAATGCAACGGCGATAGACGGCCCCATCACGCATTCTTGAACTCGTCATCGAATGTCCTGCATATATCGTCGCTATACCTGGAGCCATGCATAATAGCCAGATCTCTGTCCTGCAGATATCTACTTCCAAATCCCAGCCTGCGCATCGAGCTGCCTGTTCCTGCAGCTATCGAAATGAATCCTCGGGCGGGGCTTCATCCTATCTGTCTGGATTAGACAGGTAGGCGCCCGTCCAACTTCATGGGCGCATTGATGGGTATCACACTGCAACCAACAGCGCTGCTTAGATTTCATGCCTAGCTCGTAATTGTTTGCCCTACACGTGTCACAGGCAAACAGCATTGAGGTGAGTGTCGGCGATACGAGATGCCGTGCAATGCTGCAGCAACGGTGCAGCTGTCTATTTTCTCAGCTACAAGAGGAAAATGTTAGAGTTGGGCAGGCTATCCTACGCGCCCAGAAGCTTCGTAACCATGTTCCAAATTGGTTAAAGGAGGCAGGCTCAATTTCAGTGGTGCTACCTCGACGACGGCAACAAATGTGCGACGCCGAAAGTCTGGCTAAGCTTCTCTCGATCACCTCAAACCGTAAAGTGTTTGCAGCATAGGTTGCTTCCCTCAGGCGAGCCGTTTCTTCTCAGCGTTCGAAACGACAACTTCCTTCGGTTCTTCATTCAAACTGACTTAGCTTTTGGGCGCGCTAGCCAAGATAAATTCGGGTGGCTTGATGCTGTGCCTCTCTTGGGGTCTCCAAATGAAGGAGGAGGCTATGAATAGCTTCAAGATTCATCCCCCTACCCAGCGACGGCCCATGCCGATAAGCGTGCAAGTTCGTTGGTTGAAATCATCGAATCCACTTTGTTTTTATTGTTTTTAATGTTAACTGTAGGGAGCTCAGTGGAATTGCGCACGCCTGCTCAGTGCCAACCGCATCCTGCAGGATTATGACAAGGCAAAGAAACAGATAACGTACGTCGCTTGTGAGACTGGGCTGTTCTAGCACTGAAAGCGGACCCTACGACTGTCCTCTTACCTACCTACCCTACAGCATAGGCTCATCACCAAGTTCTGCTAGAACTTGGTGAGTTTGGGTACCTCTCCGATATGGTAATTAGGCGGCATTTACTTTCCATGGTAATGAAATGCAGTTTTTGTGCGGTTTTTTTTTAAAAGTCTTTTAAATACGTAATAATATGAAAAAGATGGAGGACATGTTGTCTTTATAGTGGTGCAGCTACCTCTACATTTAGCTTCGCCCAGGGGCCTGGGGATCTGGTCCTGAAAAGTCAACGCTACCTTAGGTAGGTGTGTAGCCAGAAACTGTGAGCGATCAGCTCTCGATTTTGCAATCCGCCCATCAGCTACCTCGAGCAAGAAATAGAAATCACCGACAGAAGACTTCAAGCATCTATTCTGGAGTGTGTATTGCCAGTGTTTCAACTCCCAGTCCTGACACTCATGATCACGTGCACCGGCATTCTGGCCAGGTGTTCAGCCACCTCCGCCACATCCAACTATCACGGAGCTTAAACTAATAGTACCGTCAGTGCCTTGCCTTAGTGGGCATATTATCGACCAGCTAGCGACGTCCCCTCAACGACCCTGACGACAATGCGACTAATTGACTAAAAAACAAATCACTCCTTTTTCATTTTTGTCTGAAGCGATTTATTCTAGCATACACTCATTCCGCGATGGACGACCTGTCGAACCTGGACTGGTCCGCAAAGCCGACGGCGGGCCAAGCGAGACCGCCACCGATGAACCCAAGCTCAGCGTTCTCCTCATATCGAGCCTCTCCTTCTCCCTTTGGTGGCTCTGGCCGCAGCACGCCCAACCAAGGGCAGCAGGCGCCTCGCCCGCAGCAAAATGCACCACCCTCGAAACCGGCAC